TAATAATTAAAATTCCTTAAAATTCCTATTAAATTAATATTTTAAAATAAATTAAAAAATTATATAAATTTAATATAAATTTTTAAAAAACATAATTATAAATAATTCGATATATATTTGTTTATTAAATATAACCGAGATTTCGTGTCATATTTTATAAAATTCCAGGATTTAGATTTTCAAAATTATCTCAAAATATATAATATATATAAATACAAAAATATATATTTTTTAAATATATATTTTAAAAAATATATTAATATATATATATATATATATCATTTATTTATAAAAAATTATTTATATATTTCGAAAAATATTATTGTATATATTTTCCGTCTTTATTTTTGACGATATTTTATTCCCCACCTGCCAGGTGAGGAATGTTAGATTTTATGTCAGTTGCCTCCTCCTGCCTCCTACCTCGTCGTCCTCCTCGTCCTCCCGTCCAACTGCGACCCGCGATCCACAGTGTTCTCTACCGGACCTCAACCACGACCCTCGACGTACAGTGTTCTTTGTCGGACCTCAACCGCGACCATCCACGCCCAATGTTCCCTGCCGGACCTCAACCACGACCATCCCCGCCCAATGTTCCCTGCCGGACCTCAACCACGACCATCCACGCCCAGTGTTCCCTGCCGGACCTCAACCGCGAGTATTCACGCCAAGTGTTCCCTGCCGGACCTCATGTAGGAAAATATGGAACAAAGAATGTACAGAAAATATGCCAGAAAGAATGTCAGAAAATATGCCAGATAGAATGTCAGAAAATATGCCAGATAAAATACCAAATAGAATGCCAGATAAAATGTCAGATAGAATGCCAGAAAATATGCCAAATAAAATACCAGATAAAATGTCAGATAGAATGCCACAAAATATACCAAATAGAATCCCAGAAGATTTGCCAGATAATATGCCAGATAGATCCAGATAGAATGCCAGAAAGAATGTCAGAAAGAATGTCAGAAGATATGCCAGACAGAATGTCAGAAGATATGCCAGAAAGAATGTCAGAAGATATACCAGATAGAATATCAGAAGATATGCCAGATAGAATGCCAAATAGAATACCAGAAAATATGTCAGATAGAATGCCAGAAAATATGCCAGAACATATGTCAAATAGAATGCCAGAAGATATGCCAGATAGAATGCCAGAAGATTTGCCAGCTAGTATGCCAGAAGATATGCCAGAAGATATGCCAGATAGAATGGCAGATAGAATGCCAGAAGATATGTTAGAATATATGCCAAAAGATATGCCAGATAAAATGCCAGAAAATATACCAGAAGATAGGTCAGATAGAATGCCAGAAGATATGCCAGATAGAATGCCAGAAGATTTGCCAGATAGAATGCCAGAAGATATGTCAGAATATATGCCAAAAGATATGCCAGATAGAATGCCAGAAAATATGCCAGAAAATATGTCAGATAGAATGCCTCAAGATATGCCAGATAGAATGCCAGAAGATTTGCCAGATAGAATGCCAGAAGATATAACAGAAGATATGCCAAATAGAATGCCAAATAGAATGTCAGAAGATATGTCAGATAGAATGCCAGAAGATTTGCCAGTAAGAAAATGTATAAATGTCATGGTGGGGATCACACGAAGTAAAGTAATTTTATTTTTATTTTTCATATATTTGTTTTTTATTTTTGACGATATGTTTTCGTTTTTGTCCGTATTTCCACGGGGCTATTAAATTGATCATTATGGGAATATATGAGGTTATTGGTCGTTGCTCAATTATGCTCAATTGCTTTGAATCCAGAATACGTCGCCAAGAATGCGAGTAATGCGCCATATAGAAATGTTGGGGAAAGCAGCTAATAATGCAAAAATTATATATACGATTGTACATCCATCATTTTTTTTTCTATTTCTTCATCTTGGATTATAACCTCAAGTTCTGGCAAGTCTTCATAGACAAAAAAAGGGCCAAAATTGGAACACAGCTATCCCCGCAGGGTTTTCCTCTCCACCTATCCCTATGCTTTGATGGGAACTATGGCATCTCCTGATCCAACCCTCACATGGCCAAGACACGCAGCTCCAACACCAGAAGTGGACCAAAGCTGTGTCCTGCCAAGGACAGAGCCCAGACCTTGGTCCGTTGAGAAGCCTTCATTTACCTTGGAAAATTGAATAAAGATGGGGCACCGGGTAATTTAGAGAAACATTTGGATTCATATACAATCAGGACTCTTGAGAGTCATAGCAAGGTGCCAATCCAAAAAGCCGTCTAGAATCAATGGGGATCATCGTGTCCGATCCATATCTCCAAGGACTTTTTGCTAATAAATGTGCTAAGGCAACCCTTCAGCAAATAAGTTTGTAGTTGTCGTTCTTGGCTAATTTCACTCCAGCCTACATGGAAAACAAAATTGAATCAACATAATGCAACTATATGAAACTCAAGGGCTCAAAATCCTGGAAAATAGATATGTTGTCCATGGTAGAAAAGGAAACGTCCGAAACTACCCACGGTGTTCCAACAACAATGGTGGCCTCAGAAAATAAGTTCGACCCATCACACACATGGTGGGGCTAGCTGAACCAGTTGGATCTGTCAGGGATTGCAAGGTCTGCTCCCAGATGTATTTTGGTTTTTAATCCCATCCAACTCGGCTTATAATTAGCATAAACCCTAGTTGAACTAACCAACTGCGCTAACTACGGGGCTGCCCCGTGTATGATGCCAAAATCCAAAGGAAGGGTAACAATCCCCTGGTGATTCATTACTTCCGCATGTTTTTCACATCGGAAAAAAACCGTCCAGAAAACGGCGAAAGCGCTAAGATTGGCAATGGTCGGCGGAATTCCATTCCAAACTTCTTCAGAGAACCTGACTTGAGTTTTCCAGGAAAGTCTGACTCCATGTCCGTGCCTCCTGATAATGTCGATCGGTCTGGAAACATAATCATAATTCTTCCACCTAAAGCAAACGAAGAAGAAGAAGAAGAAGAAGAAGAAGTAAAATACCAAATCAGCCAAGATATCCCCATGTAGTCCTATAGGCTACATGGTGGTAATTTTACTTTGTCCCATGGCCATTCTAAATCAAAAACCATTTGGTGATGTGGGGGTCGCTGTTGCTTATCCTCTGAGGCTCGTGCGCTTTCTTCCACCATGGCATCCTTGCTGGGGCAAGGATCATTTTTCTCGCAGCCCAAACAGGTGGGAACATGATTTCCAAAATAGCGCCAACCATAGTTCAAATAACCATAGTTCAAAAAACCATAGTTTACATAACATTTTCTACCTTTTTTGTTGCAAACCACGTTGGCAGTCAATTAGCATCCAAGCAACATGTTCCTCTGAACTTCCGGCTATAGTGGTGAATTGGTTCCTCTCATTTCATCCGGAACTCTGTCTGCGACAGCCGGGGGGTTATAAATCACTGTAGGAAAAGGAACAGGAATATGTCGATTCAAATCCTGCCACAGCTGATCCTAGATATATCCTGGTGTCGCGAAAATTGAGAGCACAAGTCGCATTCCACTTGAGGGAATGTGATGTGGTCTGCCCCCATTTCTCAAAAAGAATGTAGCTCACATACCTGACCAAAAAATATATTTTGGGGCTGCGCCTCCCTAGAATTGTTGCCCGTAACAGTGCAACGATGAACACATATCACTTACATAAGGTTTTCTAAGCCAGTTATACCTGTGAAACGGGCTACTATAACTATATCAGCAGAAGATAGCAGAAGAAATCCACCCATTGACCAAGACTGCGGGACTTTGTGGTCAATCTTCAAGGGCATGGCCACCTGAACGACAGACCTGGAGATGGGGCGCCATCTGGAGATGTGGTCAGTCTTAGATACCCAATAAGTGTCTTTCCATTGACAAACCTCGCAATTTGAAAACAAGCATGTCTAGTAAAATTGGTAGCGATACAAAAATACAAGTCCGTGACCTCCCTTCACAACGGAAAACTGTGGGGTTACTAACCACACTAAACCTTGTCGCTTTAGATGAGAGCAGAAAATCAATTCATATCAATTCTATCTAGCCGCTGTTTCAGTCCAGAGAGTGAACTAACCGTGCTGGCTCAGTCCCAATGCCGTTAAGCCGAGAAAACACGAGGAATCTGCGAACAGGTCAGCTCCAGTTGCAAAATGCAAAACATGAAGCATTTCTTTTTCTAGATCATTGTTCGGGTTTGTTTGTTCCATTCTTCAGCGTGAAAAGTGCCCGAAAACACCGCGACAACCCCGTGAACACCATCAAAAACTGGTGTGTATGTGTGCGTGTGTGTAACTCACATGATGGTTTGACTAAAGTTTTGGCAAAGTAAAAAAAACTCGTGTGAGATGTTGCGAGTTTCCTTTTTGTGTGGGCCGCCTGCGTCATGGATGTTGGCTTTAGGATTCAGCAATGGCAAGCTGAAGGGAAGGACACTTTTTGGAACCCCTCGAGGCTTGTATTGCTTATTCCGCATTGCTGATTTGATCAAGCATTCTGCCTCTGCTCTTTGGAAGGCGGTAGAGATAGGCAGTGAAATGATGGGGTTCATTAAATGTGGTTGGACGGTCAGGGATGGGTAATTGTCTCTTGCCGGGTTTTGGACTGTTTTTGGGGGATCCGCAACAATCTGATCTGTTCATTTCAATCTCACCACTCTTGAGATTATTTTCACCAAAGAGTACCAACGTATACGTTTCTTGGCCCACCAAATAGACATATCACTCAAATGAGGTTCTGGGCCAGTTACAACTGTTCAGGGGCTACAACTGTAGAAGTGCCAAAATCAAAGCGGCTTGGTGGCTTGGTGGGCCAAACGGGTTCAGGATGGGAACCGTATCCACCGCACGGAAAATCGACGTCATGTTTGTAGCAGGACGTGAGTTGTATGCGTTTCTGCATCTCAGGAAAATATTGATCTACTGTCATGTGGCCTTGTCCCAAAAAGTTTCAAATCCAAGAACACAATGGTTCATCACCACTTTCCAAGTCGACTAAACATAGTCCGTGTCCACAATTTTCAAGCACACCCAAATATAATATTCCGTTGCATCCCATGGGCTCATCATATACTGTATATTTCATTTTTGCCCCAGTTGGGCGTGTATCCCACTAAGCGGGAAATAGGATGTGATAATCATCTTGCACCCCAGTTATCTATGGGGCATATTCTTCTGGGACATGACATATCCTAGTAGTATATATCATGAGTTCTTAATAGCCACCAATGCCTGAGAAAGACCCTGAACTCCAAGTCTGCCAAGTCCATGGTATTGTTGATCAAATTAAACCATATACTATTGTATGATGTTGTATGCACTCCATGTTATCCATGTTGGTTATAATTGCAACCATATAAATAAATAAATAAATAGATAGATAAATAGACGAATAAATAAATGAATAAATAAATAATCAAATAAATAAATAAATACATAAATAAATAAATACATTTATATCTATGTATATATATACACCTCCCATGGTATCCTATTGCATGCCATAATGTGATTGTTGGTTGCCCTTCGGTAATCAAACATAGCACGTGGAAATCCTGCAAACCTCCATATAGAGGGGAATTCCCATTGCCACATTTGATTAGTGGAGAGTATCTTGATTATATACCCGGCATAACCTGGTTGTTTCACATCCACAAGTTGAAACCGAAGTCATCGCCCAACTGCCGAGCCCCTGACCCTGCATGAACCTCAGGTCGCACAGGATATCAGCTTGGGATAGCTTACAATGAAAGGTTATCAGTATCATTGGGCAATCAAACGTAGCAGTAGCAATGGGAAAACCCTGTAGATGGAGGTCTCTGGGGGACAATTCACCTAGAAATGGAGGATTTTCCACTGCCACGGTTGATTACCGGAGGGTATATCAAAGGGATATTACTAATGTTGTCGACTGATTAGTGTGAGGGCCCCCCCCCCCCCAAACAATTTTAGTCTACTGAATAACAGACCATTTTTTTGGGCCCCCCCACCTTCAACAATTTTTTTGAATTGATTTCAATTTACTTTCAATTGAAATCAATTTACTTTCAATTGATTTCAATTTACTTTCAATTGATTTCAATTGATTTCAATTTACTTTCAATTTACTTTCAATTTACTTTCAATTGATTTCAATTGATTTCAATTTACTTTCAATTGATTTCAATTGATTTCAATTTACTTTCAATTTACTTTCAATTTACTTTCAATTGATTTCAATTTAATTTCAATTTACTTTCAATTGATTTCAATTTACTTTCAATTGATTTCAATTGATTTCAATTTACTTTCAATTGATTTCAATTGATTTCAATTTACTTTCAATTGATTTCAATTGATTTCAATTTACTTTCAATTTACTTTCAATTGATTTCAATTTACTTTCAAGGGTTTTTGTTTTTTTTTTCAACCCCAAAAGTTGCTTGGCACAATAGAGTACCATCCAAACATTCATATTATTGAGTAACTGAGCCACTCATGGGGTACCACCTTGAAAAATTGTCTGGAAGCTGTTTTTTAATAAGGGTTTAATAAGGCATCTAATTATTTGGAAAACCTTGCATTTTAAAGCTTTAATACAAATATGGTTTCCTAAAGTAAATGGACCAGCTTTACTCAAAGAAAGGTTGAGAAAGGGTTTTTATTTTTTTTCAACCCCAAAAGTTGCTTGGCACAATAGAGTACCATCCAAACATTCATATTATTGAGTAACTGAGCCACTCATGGGGTACCACCTTGAAAAATTGTCTGGATGCTGTTTTTTAATAAGGGTTTAATAAGGCATCTAATTATTTGGAAAACCTTGCATTTTAAAGCTTTAATACAAATATGGCTTTCTAAAGTAAATGGACCAGCTTTACTCAAAGAAAGGTTGAGAAAGGGTTTTTATTTTTTTCAACCCCAAAAGTTGCTTGGCACAATAGAGTACCATCCAAACATTCATATTATTGAGTAACTCAGCCACTCATGGGGTACCACCTTGAAAAATTGTTTGGATGCTGTTTTTTAATAAGGGTTTAATAAGGCATCTAATTATTTGGAAAACCTTGCATTTTAAAGCTTTAATACAAATATGGTTTCCTAAAGTAAATGGACCAGCTTTACTCAAAGAAAGGTGGAGAAAGGGTTTTTGTTTTTTTTTTCAACCCCAAAAGTTGTTGGGCACAATAGAGTACCATCCAAACATTCATATTATTGAGTAACTGAGCCACTCATGGGGTACCACCTTGAAAAATTGTCTGGAAGCTGTTTTTTAATAAGGGTTTAATAAGGCATCTAATTATTTGGAAAACCTTGCATTTTAAAGCTTTAATACAAATATGGTTTCCTAAAGTAAATGGACCAGCTTTACTCAAAGAAAGGTTGAGAAAGGTTTTTATTTTTTTTTCAACCCCAAAAGTTGCTTGGCACAATAGAGTACCATCCAAACATTCATATTATTGAGTAACTCAGCCACTCATGGGGTACCACCTTGAAAAATTGTCTGGATGCTGTTTTTTAATAAGGGTTTAATAAGGCATCTAATTATTTGGAAAACCTTGCATTTTAAAGCTTTAATTTAAAAAAATGAAAAAACAGAAAAACATTTTTTTAAGTAACTAATTTAAAAATAAATTCAAAAAATAATTCATTAATTAAAAAATTAGGAAGAAATAAAAAAAAAATCTGGAAAAACATTTGCCACAATACAGGCCCCCCCCACCAAACAGCATGTTACTGAATAAGGAGGAAACTTTTTGCCACAATAGAGTACCATGCTACTAATCAGGTGCTAACATTATTACAAAGGGCCTATTAAAGGGGGTCATCCTCACATCTTACACATGCTCGCCAGCCACTTTCAATGGAAACACAACAAACGAACATCTAGAAGAATACAGAAGAAGAATACATGATTTTCCGGGGGCCCTAGCGATTTTGAGAACATGTATGCGCAGGTTGAACCAAGCACTGCTGGACGCAGCCTTCATCATTATTCACCGAAATCACCATCGCTTGCAATTGGGTCCATCAATGATTGACATGTTCCGTATCAAGTCTCCATTTCTGCAACCATGACCCTTTACCAGGTTTAAGTCGGTTATAACTCGCATTTATGGAATGATAAGCCCATACATAACCATTAAATAGCTGGCATTTCGGGTTTGAACCGCTGGTGGTGGGGGTTGCACCGGGTTGCACCCGTTGCACAACCGCTGGGCTTCCGAGCTGGTGTGTCCAAGTCCCAGGATTCAAAGCCAAAGGAGTGACCGCTGACCAGTTTCAACCTGAGCCGAATCAAGCCACGTTCACTGTGAGGCCCCCAAGATAGCTAAGTTGGTTTATAACTCCAATAGCTATGGTTTATGGTACTTATAACTATAGTTACTGGGGCTTATAAACCAACTTATAACTGGGGGGTCACACTGTTGATTTGAAGCGTAATCGGAAGATCCATGTGAAGTTTGATTGCAAGATCTAATATATCTATGATATTCTATAATTATCTAAATTAAATCATTCATTAAAAAACGGCTTATTGTTTTTAGTAAGATGTTTCCATACCTGGGTTTGGGCCCGATATAGGGACTGCTGTCTGCCCAAATAGGGTGGGAAATAACATATGATTGAAACAGATTGAAACCAACCAAATAAAGGTAGGTTGATCTCCAAACATGAGGCACCCGAAAAATTCCACGTTTAAAATCTCATGGTCCCCCTTTCCATCGCAAGAAATTGGTGCCAGTCCATCTGAACTTGGCAAGTGGTTTAGCCCAAAAAATATAACATTACAACACGATATAAATGGGTACTTCCAAGAAAACTTGGATAGTTGGCTATTAAATTAAAATCCCTGGTCCACGATTCTCCAGGTAGTCCCATCATGTCCCACCTGCAGTGGGGCTGGTTGTGTCAATGAATCAGTCCCGGCAACTCAGTTCCTTCCGGCCATTCGTCTTGTCCGATGTTCCTAGGCAGCACAGCAGCCGCGCAAAATCCAAGGTGTAAAATCTGAAAATGATGATCAAAAAAAACGCTAGCCCTTGTCAACAAAAACACATTTCAATCTCAATTCTTACGTCATTCCATGGTTGATTGCCTCCCGATCGGACCAGAAAAACTCAGCACCCGGCTCTAAAGCCAGAACAAGGTCCAGAACAGCTCCCCGAGCCACAGACGCGACCTGCACTAGTCTTGGCAGCAAAAGGCCAGGTTGGTTCTATGATCAAAAACTGGTTCATCCCCGATCATTTGAAATATTCCATATGGAAACCCAAAATGAATAGCACCACAGCTAAACCAGGGTTTCATGTGGGAAGGGATTTATTACTAGGGGGAGGAGAAGTTATTATCTACGAAATTTACGGCAAGTTTATGCCGAACAACGGCAATGTAGATGATTCAACCCGTGAGAAGGCGTTAACCATGCCAAGCCACCCAGAATGATTTGCATATAGCCAGAACAGAGAATTAATCAGTGGCGGTATTTAAAACAATTTGAAACATATGAATCATTGGGCGTCATCCTCGCACAATAATACGAAAAATCCATTCAAACCCTGCAAATAGATGCAAATAGCACAGTCCATTTTCATCGTAGTTTATCAAGTTATTCTCCATCATATTCATATGTTTGGCAGTTAAATTCCCATAGAACCCCTATAAAGTGCCAAAAAATCTCCATTAAAAGAAAAAAACACATTTCCATACCCTCTGGTAAACTAACATAGTTATTGAAAATGAACCATTTATAGTTGATTACCCATTATAAATGGTGATTTTCCATATCTTCCCATACGTTTGGCAATCAACATGCCATCTGGTGAATTCCCCGCCGACCATCTCAGGAGCCTCGATGCTCCCAATCCGATAGGCCTGGTGGTCCGCAAGATGCAGCGTTGCATTTAGAATTCCTTTTAACAGGTGGGGTTCCTGTAGATGTATCCTACGCGCGCCATGTCTTGATTTCAACTTTTGCGGCCTGCAAAGCCCATGCAAGCACGGGTGTTCTTTGAATTGGGAATCTAGGAGAGTCGACATGCACAGTATCCTGGCCCCTCAGTCAGATTCGTTTCGCACACCCCTGTTGTTGGTGATAATAGCGCTGCAAACAATTTCTTAAGTTTTTGCTTCATGTACATCTTTCAATGACTTTTTGTTCGAAACTGACACTTTGCACTCTATCATGGGTAATGTCTCAAAAGTTCAGCACTTGCTTTTTGTTGGTTGCACCCACCTCATTTTGCTACAGTTGCACTTGTCGATTCACACTTCACCGAAAATGGTCTAACTTTCGATGGTTTGGGTGTACGCCCATTATATATAGGAAACCTCCACATGAGTTATAAGTAATTACCCTGCCAATCTTAGATACACTGCATTAAAAAAATAAATTGTATAGTTAGCTGTTTAGTAGAGATTCCTATTGAAATCGCAAAAGATGAACGGAATGAACTACTCATCCAGTTGGTTGACCTAGTGATTACCGCATATCATCAGGATTTCACCAACACAAATGAAGGAACATTGCTTATTTTACCAACCAAAATGAATTTCTACTATCATTGACTCTCCAAGCAACATGAACTCCGCCGTTTTGCCGCAGGCCGCACCTGCGTGACGCTAGTTGGAGCCAGGTCAGCGGACCATTCCTCTGTCGGAGCCGCTGCTTTATGGTGATGATAATGGCTATTGATGGGATATGAGTGCGATTTTAATGAGCATGATACGATAAAACCAAGTTTGGAATGTTTCGCTCGATTGTTTTGGAACTAGGTGAGCCGGGGATTAAAAAAAACATAAATAGCGTTACATGGGCTTGTAAACCAACTTATACCTAGGGGGCACCACCTTGCATAGGGATACGGTAACGTAATGTAACGTAACTATGTAAGGGGAAAAATTCTGGTTGTTGAACATTTCTTGCATTCTGTTTTTGATATGTGCGAATAGTGTGCGTGATGATGATGGCGATAGTGATGATGGTGATCTGGACTGAGCTGCTGAAACAGTTGGCGATCTAATCCCCTCCCCTCCCCAAAGGTCAAGTTCCAACATCAACCCCAAAAGACGAAGACAGTAGATTTGTGGATCCAAGAATTGATCCAAGACTAAGCCAAGAATCTTGTTGGGAACCCGGCCCAGCTGGCTTTTATTTTGACAGTTTCGACCCATCCGAAAAAGATGGCTCATGTGCGTTTTAGAACCTTGGCCAATGGCCAACATGTGGGGACATGTGTGGATACAACAAGTAGCAATATTGGATGCGCAGAATCGGGCTGGAGAAAGGCATGTTGCATACACATGGGTTTGTCTGGAAATAGGGTACCCCTAAAATGGCAATCTTCATGTTTAAAATGATGATAAACTATTAGAATTTTGGTACCCTATTCTTAGACAAATCCATATCTGCAGCAATTCAGCAGCCTGCAAGGGAGGCACCTGAATGGGCTCACAAAAAGACTGTATATATGGTGGAAGGCACAATTTTTTATTTTCATATCGCAGGAAAAATGCCCTTTTTTCTGCATTTCAACATCTTCACCCACTAGTATGCAAACCAAATATCGTATGCTGGCAAAAATTCGAGTAGTACAAACATTTTGACTTAATCCCAGCTACTTGCTAACAATAATCTATCGTGACTACAACATCTTCTTCCTTTTTTGGAGGTTTCCACCATGTCAAGACATGGGCCCATCAAGTCCTCAGTCACATCGCCCACTCGTGAGAGATCAGGTAGCAAAGCCTCACGCCAATCAATGGCGTGGCCATCCAGAAAAAATGAAAGTGCCTTCTTCAAACAAGAAATGCTGTACCTATATACTGCATGACTGTGTGTTCAGCAATCTGGCTGAATCACTTCATAATGCGCTAAGAAATCAATATGAATGATTATGCATATATATATATATAATGTGAAAGTACCTGAAATAAAACCATTTGGGGATGATCCCCCGCAATCTAATCTTCATTCCAGTGACGTCACAGTGAGGTCATTATACTTCATCCAGAAAAATAGAAACTATATGGAGGCTTAAGCCCCCCAAAAAAAAACGTCGCTCAAAAAAAAATAAATTCTGCTACGATTATAGGTGTCAGATATGGATATCAAATCTAATCTAGCTATTGAAAGTGGGTTGTCATGGTTATACCATTTACATGGGCTTTTAACGACCAGAAATTGGTAACCCGTGGAATTACCCAGCAATGGTATGTGTATATCGAATGGGTGATATCATTTTTCAGCAATCTTGTAACTACCAATTGTTTGAAGATGTCCACCTAAAAAGGCTATGACGTTGGTGTTTTTTGGGGCAGCACCCCTTCTAATTCTCTGTGATGTCCCGGTGGGTTTTTGGCCATGGCTACCCCCAAGAGACTCAAGAGATCCCAAGAGATGGTCATATTGCCAGCCATGGAATCTTCATGTGGGTATGGGTCAAATTTTAGGTACCGTTATAATCATAATACTGCTTGTGGTTCCAGATTCCATAGGGCTTAAGCTTTGACCCTGGCCCACTATTTGGAAACCAGCCTGGTCGTGAGCTTGTGGCCTGACTTCGTGAACATAGGCACGAGCTGATTGAAGGTTGTCGGTTGCCTGGCGCAGCCAGCAAAAAGAAAACAAGCAAGGGGTAGCATGACAAGAAGGGGTAACGCGGGACAAAAGCGAGTTGCAATTCCGCAAAACATGCAACATGGAACTCCAGTACACCAATTTAATACTATTTTTGCTTTAGAAAATAATCATCAGGAAACTTTTTGGTTCGCACTTAGATTCCATAGCATTTCATGAATCACCTGACAGGGTCGAAAACCCCGGCTTCGCAGTGGCGCCTGCCCTAGGAGTCCAGCACTAGTGCTCTCAATCCAATCCAACTCCTTGTGCTGTGGCAAGCTGGACGTTTCTTTTGGCTCAAAAAATGTTGGGAAACAAACAAACGTGATTTTACCAATTAACAACATGCTCTTTATTCCGGAGAACAACTTCTATCATTTTATGCTGCATATGCTTAGAGAAGGTGATTTTTCATGGTCTTTCTTCAAACATCGAATACAATCGACCACTCTCCTTTTGATCACTGCCGGTCCGGGCCAAGAGTCCAACAGCAGCAGCACCCCGAAGACGCGGCCATCCAAACTGAGGGCCCAAATGCAGCTGGGCGCATCCGCCTGGACAAAAATGGGCCGTTCCCAAACTTGGGGGAACCCAACGGGCCCAAGACCAGTTGTTTAAATGGCCAACAATTGACACACAATAAACATTAATGAGGGTCTCCCACTTTTATACCCATAGGAGCATATGTTTTTTCATAGAAGGACACAGATTCATGGACGTATGACTGGGGTTCTGACCGTTCTGATTAGCTTCCCGCGAAACATGACCAACATTGTCCTTATAGCTTCACCATTTCACCATTTCTCATCCCTGCCAATGAAAGAAACATGAGAAAAATGGGGGGGTATAAGTCAAGGCAAATACCGAGACCAGCTGGGTAGCCCTTGGAGAAAATTACTTCACTTCGAGTTATCCCCACCATGACATCTATACGTTTTGTTACTGGCATATCTTCTGGCATTCTACCTGGCATATCTTCTGCAATATGTTCTGGCATATCTTCTGGCACTCTATCTGGCATACCTTCTGGCATTCTATCTGACATTCTATCTGGCATACCTTCTGGCATTCTATCTGGCATATCTTCTGGCATTTTATCTGGCATATCTTCTGGCATTCTATCTGGCAAACATTTTGGCACTTTATCTGGCATATCTTCTGGCATTCTTTCTGACATTCTATCTGGCGTTCTATCTGGCATATCTTCTGGCATTCTATCTGGCTGTTGAGGTCCAGCGGTGCTCACTGAGCTCGGAGGGTCCCAGGTTGAGGTCCAGCGGTGCTCACTGAGCTCGGACGGTCCCAGGTTGAGGTCCAGCGGTGCTCACTGAGCTCGGACGGTCCCAGGTTGAGGTCCAGCGGTGCTCACTGAGCTCGGAAGGTTGCAGGTTGAGGTCCAGCGGTGCCCAGTGCACTCAGACCCTTGCAGTTGAGGTCCAGCAGTGCCCACTGCGTGCGGAAGTTGGCGAAGAGCTTGGCGAAGAGTTGGCAAGGCGGAAGTGAACATGGGAGTGGATGCAAAGGTGGTGGAGGAGAATGAGGAGGAGGAGGAGGAGAAGAAGAACAATTCTGATAAAATCTTTAACAACCCTCACCTGGCAGGTGGGGAAAAACTCAATGCCCAAAGTTCAGTGCCTTGCAAGCAATGAACAAGCGAATGTAACATGCCAATTTTACTGGCATGTGCGGCGGCATTTTTATGTGTTCCTTTTTTGTTGTTTTTTGGCTTCAGCCTCCTCATCATGTTCGCACACCAGTAGGTGATACGAACTTTTATTTTTTGTTCTCTCGGCGGATGGTGTTTCTGTGGAGGATGTCAAAACCAAAGTACGAATAGATGCATAAACAAAACATACTCAACGATGTGTTTGTGTTGTGTAACAGGTATGCGTGTATAAGCATGAACAACATACATATATACATATAATATATTTACAAGTATATGATTTTATGATATTTTATGTCAAGTAAAAAAATGATATCATCTCGTTGAAAGCGATTGATTGGAAGTATGATCTTCCCATCGGAAAGGGCTACGGCAAACAAAGCACTTGGCCTTGCCATAATCGCAGGCACTAGTTAGTTGGTTAAGTCCGAAGCCGTGAGAGTGATCATGAATGATAAAATTACGAATCATGATTAGTAGATTCCAGCATAGATGATAATGCTGCTGATGATGATGATGTTGAACATGGCAAAGATAAAAATCTGTGACGTTAAAAACATCCCTCATGAACATTTCTCTGGACTAGGAACATGACTACAGGAACTGCACTTTACATGTGCAAAGGATCTCAAGTTTCATCCCTTCCCGAATATCAAACGCAAAGAGAAACCATGGCTTAGTAAGGAACTTACACATATTTGGAACCATGTAAGGTTTTTTTTTAATATCAGGGGGATCGGATTATAGGGTTCATGGCTCCTCCCAGCTCCCCTTCACCAAGCGCACTGCGACATTTCCGTGCCTGACGCGGCACCTTCAGATGGAGTGTGACCTTGCGGTGCTCCCCAGGACTAGTGACCTTGGTAGCGTGAACGGCACGGCCGAGAATGGTGGCTTAACCTGGTTGAGTTAGACCCAACAGGATAGAACGGTAATGTCCAACTTTTGAAAACAAACACATATTTTCCTACCTTTTCTCGGTGCTGAAATGTGCGGGGGATTATTCCAAGAATCCACCACATGCCCTATCTAGTGGCCTATCACGGCCTGGGTTGGAGGTCAGAACAGGGCATCCTTGTAGGTTGTCGTGGAACTGTCGACCTTCACTAGCTTGAGTTGGTCTCGGTGGCGCTTCTTGTTTCTGCCTTTTTTGTACTCTTTGGTACCCTGGGGAATTCTTTGGCAGACTGTCAGGCCTACCCCATTCAGTTGTTTGTTTGAAACGGACCTTTAGCGTCCACGACGGGGTGCAGGAGATTGAGCCAAGCCCCGCAGTGGACGTTATTCAGTGGCTGTAGAGTCGCCATTGGCTGGTGCGACCATAGACAGAAGTCTGCTCTGGGTGCGAAACTGTACATGATATTCCCGTCTTTTATTCATAATATCTCATAATGCATGACAAAACTAGGAATATCATGTTTGTATAGCCAACACAAAAACATATTGGCCACCAACAAATACGAAAGTAAATGCCTATAGAAGTACAGGAGCATCACACTTGCTGCGCTATTTTTTTTGGAGGGGCCCACAGCTATCCTTGGATACCAGCACAAACAAATAGTGGCACTTTTTGGGCAAGATATGAACATGGCCCAAAATAGCACTATTCAAATCTATTCGGCCACCACGTCCAGGTTTGCCAGGGTATGTTGACTGGCCAACAGCCTGTGGACGTATGGCAAATTCCTTAACTCCCTCTTACGATTTCTGGTAGGATCTTCGAAGGGCAATTTGCAAAAAAACGCCTGCACAGGGACAAGAACAAAAGGCATTCCGCCTGTTCTTCTCCTGCATAAACACTTTGACAAGCACTTCTGCGGAATGCGATTGTGATAAGTGCGTTAATGGGCTTAATTCACCACAGTTCTCGACAGTCCACAGTTGCAAAGATGGCAATGATTCAGGGGGTCCCGCTGAACAGAACTGAAGGCGATTCATTTGGTTGCAAGTCTCAACGGTCATATCTAAGAGTGGAAGAATCCAGTCGAGCAAGCCTTTGAGTCACTCCCAAATTAGGGAAACAGATCATTACGGATCCGTGTGGGTGAGGCAACGCTTTCATTAAAAAACCATTAGCCCATGTGTGAGGCAAAACAAAACCAATCTAAAACCTATGACGATCCATGTGGCCATCGGGGCTCAAAGCTCGACCTCCCCTTGCTGTGGTCACCATTGCATAGCTTCTACAAGGTGGTGCACCAGTGAATTTTTGCTTGGTTTAGCGGCTCATACCTATATATTCTAGCTGGTTTAGCGTGCTTGGTTTATAACTTTTTACTAGGTTTGGCGATGAAAAGTATGTATAGTTGGATGGCGCATCACCTGTGTACGGCATATGTACATAGTTCTCAGATCATTTTCTTATTGATCATGATGAGTTCTGAGAGAGTCCCCAAGGGCAATTTTCTAGAACACTCATCATACCGTCCAAATATAAAACTGGATGACACAAAAATCCAAAAAGACAGCGGGTCCAGCGAGATTTTGCCCTTTTGACAATTTGGAAGTCGTTCCCCCCAAAGAACTCCGGCGCGAAACCTACGAAACTTCCCATAACAGTACCGTGGTAAACCTAATGCAACCCATGTGGGTGGGGATGGGTGGGGACGGTTGGGCACAGCATCAACGAGGCACCCGTCCTAACGGTAGGGTGTCCATCCCCAAGTCGGCACCGTGGGCGATCTGCACTGCGGCATGTGCCGGCCTGGGCCACGTAAGAGTCGCGACACGGCGGGTGGATTACGGAGGGAAAAGAGGGAGCCCTTAGATATGCATAGTTCACCAACATGAAAAAAAGACAACTAGGGTGACATGGTATGATTCACCTTTGAAAATCCCGTTAGTTAGAAATACCGTGACGTCGCAGTGAGGTCGTTGAAATCCGTCCCGGCCAAAAATGTGCACACATATTCCTGAGTGCATTCTCACAGTAAAAAAACGTACAAGAAGAAGCAAACACGGCAAACGTATGATTTATATTCATGTTATGCGCCTGCTTGCGTTTCACTCTGGAACATTCACATTGGGAAGCAAATGTTTTGCTAAAGCTTCTGAACCTAAAGCATGATCATTTGCATCCATCTGCGCCCGGTTTGTAGCAACATCCCGTGCGTCGTAGCGCCGAGATTCATCACGAACAACTCGCAAAAATAGCGCCCCTACGGCCGAATTGTTTGGGTTACAAGCCCACTTAGATGGCCCATGAGATTAGTTAACTGGTTAGATCTGGTTAGTAGCTGGGTTATAAAACAATTGCCATTATAGATCTTATATCATATATCTATCTATCTCTATCTCTCTCTCTATATATATGCTATCCCAGTTACCAACCAGGTAGCTAGCCACATGGGATCCCATGGGCCCATCTATACAACAACAAGAACAACAGCAGCAGCAGCAACAACAACAACCACAACAACCACAGCGGCATACTATACAATACCTTTCTGGTGACTTCTTGAACCTCACAAGGTTTAGACCCCCCAGCCAGGTGCTGCTCCCCAGGTTGGTCAAGGTGATGTTCACCGTGACACGCACCGGCCTAGGCCAGAGATAGGAATCGGTTTGGAGAACCAGAATTGAGTCATGCTTTGCCACAAGCATGTTGTACCATGTTGCACGCTGAAGTCCAATCGTCAATCAAAATTGGACCCAGACCCTTGCCATTTTGGGCCTAAAAAGTCAAGCTTTGAGGCACACCACGTCTTCAGACACACAAAATAGATAGATGCAAAGACCTCTGATCATCCCAAATACACTATCCGTCACTATCCGCCCTGATCTACTGTACGCACCTGCCTCCATGAACGAGCGTTTTTTTGGGGCGCATGCTGGCACTTGCACCAGCACCACCAGCACCATTGATCACTTGGGACTTGGGACATACGGTGAAGCTCAAAATGTCAGTGGAAATTGGTATATCCAGGGTCTAGGTCACAAGGAGATTCAAGCGTTATGGGACTAACGGAAGGAATCGTGGAGGAACCCACGTCTTTTTTCCCCAGCCTGCAAGTCTTTCCCCTAAACAGATTCTGGCCTGGGAAAAAGGGGTAGAAACAGGCATTGCAGGTGCTGCAAAGATATTCTATGATCTGATATACAGCAAATGGCTATCAATGAATCAATGCTATCAGGGGTGAACCCCATTCCAAACACCTCAAGAGGATAATTGTAGTTAGGAAAAAGGCACCCTCCAATTGGAAAGGAGTTACACAAGAGCCAACAAAACCATAATAAACTCCCACTAATGCCCTGAAAAACAGGAGCTGGTAAATGTACTGATTACACATCCCCCAGCATCCACCACTATAGGGGTATAATCTCCAACAAATACTTGAAAGTGACGTTCAAAATCCAAAAAAAAATGACATTTTTATCTCCAGAACTTGGGAGATTTCGACCGAGTCGCCTGGAAGAAGATTCGGTCACCGTCAGACGACCAAGTCGATACACCTGACAACACTGAGGTATTCAAGGTGCCAGAAATGTGGATAGTTGATGATGAAACACCAGAACAAATCCACATGAAATGCCGGTAACAATGGTGAAACAATGACTTGTCAAGACTATCTCAACGGTTGAGATTTTTACGTCCCAAGTTCAGCATGAAACCATGGAAAAATCAAAGTTTTGAAAATACGTGCCATCTTTCGTGGTGTTTCCAAAATCTGGAGCCTCATGCATTGCCAGTTCCCGTGTGACATGGGACGTTGCCAGGTCATGCTGCTTCACACCAGAAATATGATGAGGAAAGTTTCATGGTTGGTGGATTAGACTCCAACAGAAATCCCATATCTGTCCTTCCGGGGCCCATTACAACAGGTGAGAAATAATGGCAATTGGTTCTTACCATGCCAAAAAGGTGACTTTCTTGGTGTAGGTATGGAAAGTTCCCTACTTTTCGCCTACCCATGTTCACCGAAAGCCAACGCTTGTTGATATTTTTTTTTGCTGGATATCCGAAAGATTTTCCATGTTTTTTCTAGAACAGCATCCTATTGTCACTAGCTATTGTCACATGTTTTTTTTCAAGACAATAATCCATGCCACAGCAGTTCCCCATGTAATCTGCTTTGCCTGCCCGATGGTTGGGTTCTCCGAGAGGAACTGCTGCCACTCTTCGGTGAGGTCTCTTGGAGCCCTGCGGCACCCCAAATAGGAGTAGCAAAATGTCCGCTTAGCCAAAGCGGTTTTGATGGAGGTTCACTTTCTGCCTGTTCAAGACTTACTGGTGCTAAACGCAGGGAATTTTTCCATTTCATCACTAGTAATTTCATCATCCCAGCAACCCCCATTCCTATCCATTCCCTACGTACGACGCACCAGTAAGAAGATCAATCTCTGTTTCCGAGCCATCACTGATGGCTTCCAGGTGGAATCTGGGATAACGCACCTGGAATCAGCAGCAACAGAACTATGATGCGGCCTGGGACAACGGCGCCTGGACATGGCATTCCAAAAATACAACAAAAGTCCTGGGAAAATGCGTTGGGCACATTATAACATATTATAACCTAGAATTCCTGGAAGTGAATCATGTGCCGGATGATTCCCCAAATAGACAATTGAATTTATTGTGGGGTGAGCTAGTGAGGTCACTCAACCTCACCTGCAAAATGGCGGATGGTGAGCCCTACAGCCCGTAGCTGTAAGGTGAATGCCATAAGTAGCTGGCAAAGGGTTGTTCATTCCCCAAAAAAAAGGAATAATGCTGTCGGTTGTGATCACCAAGGTCGATGAACTTCAGTCCGAGGTGCTGGATGGCCGATTCCTTCACCATGGCGCTGAAATGCTCTCTGTCCTTAGGTTGAATTATGCCTGATTTATGGGTAAAAATCCAATTAGTTCATATTCGGTTGTAAAGGGAAACTCATCCATGAATTGGAAGCATAATGGGGATACAACTAGACTATACATCACCAACTTGATATGATATTGGGTCTGTCTCAACCTTGGAGATTTACCTCCCGAATTGCCATTTCAAGTGCGGAAATGATTATATTTGAAAACCTGCTTGGTCTTTCCTAAGCTACCTTATTTCCAAACAAATATATAGAAGGGCGCTGTTGGTGGGTCAGGCTACAACGGGCGATCCGTCAATCACCACGGGCTGAGGACTCGACAAAGGGCACCTCCTCTTCTGCGGGCTCCTACCAGCGGCAAAGTGAACGAAGTGAACCAACTTGGATGCGGCTCAGCAGCTAGATATTCCGCGTACATATGACCATATTTGCGCGAACAGTTATTTACATACCAGTTTACTCACAGTTTTCAAGGCTCAGTGATGTTATAGGATGGGGGGTACCTTAGGTACCTCCCACCCTCCAGACCCCCCCGATTATTTTTTTATTAAACCACTATTCCTGCAGATCAATTTCAGAAATTAATCTAGTACCTGGTTTACGTCTTGGATTATTTTAGGTATATACCAAAAAATCAACGCAGTCTGTCACATGCTCACCTGGCATCGTGTCTGCATAATTCTGCACATGCCTGCACAAACCAAATTGTGCCAAGCTGATGCGAAAACAGCACAATGATTGTCTGGGTATCTTGGTAATCTTTTGTATGGATTTGTTCGTATTTGTCCGCATGCCATCCACGCTCATTTCAATGCATCCATCTTTTTCGTCCTCATTACCATCATTACTATTTATCTACCATCATCTATATACCATCATCTATCTAACATCATCTATCTACCATCATCTATCTACCATCATCTATCTACCATCATCTATCTACCTCTCTATCTCTCTATCTCTCTATCTATCTGTCTGTCTGTCTATCTATCTATCTACCTATCTATCTATCTACCTATCTATCTACCTACCTATCTATCTATCTATCTACCTACCTTTCTATCCATCTATCTATCTATCTATCTTTCTACCTGCCATTACCTATCTACCTTTCTACCTTTCTGCATATTGATCTACCACCTGTGAAAAATTAGTCCAAGGGTCTCTGACCCCCCGGCCACCCATGGATTGATTGAGGGCCCACGTCCCCATGCCATGGCACTGCATACCGCTGCACCAAAGCAAGAACGGTCTCATCTCATCTCATCTCATCTCATCCCTTCGGCACCATTCAGCACCCCTCCAAGCTGTCATCCTCTGCACATGCTTCTTCACCCAATGTCTGCAACCTCTGGAAATTAATCCAAAGATCTCTGACCCCCCGACCACCCATGGATTAATTGAGGGCCCACTTCACCATGCGATGGCACTGCACATCGCTGCACCAAAGCAAGAACAGTCTCATCTCATCTCATCTCATATCATCGGCACCATTCAGCACCCCTCCAAGCTGTCATCCTCTGCACACGCTTCTTCACCCAATGTTTGCAAAGTGTGGAAATTAATCCAAGGGTCTCTGACCCCCCGACCACCCATGGATTAATTGAGGGCCCACTTCCACATGCCATGGCACTGCACATCGCTGCACCAAAGCAAGAACTGTCTCATCTCATCTCATCTCATCTCATCTCATCTCATCTCATCCCTTCGGCACCATTCAGCACCCCTCCAAGCTGTCATCCTCCCGGGCACATGCTTCTTCACCCAATGTCTGCAACCTCTGGAAATTAATCCAAAGATCTCTGACCCCCCGACCACCCATGGATTAATTGAGGGCCCACTTCACCATGCGATGGCACTGCACATCGCTGCACCAAAGCAAGAACAGTCTCATCTCATCTCATCTCATATCATCGGCACCATTCAGCACCCCTCCAAGCTGTCATCCTCTGCGCATGCTTCTTCACCCAATGTCTGCAACCTGTGGAAATTAATCCAAGGGTCTCTGACCTCCAGACCACCGATGGATTATTTGAGCACCCATTTCCCCATGCGATGGGTTCAAAGACCCTTGGAGTAATTTCCACTAGTTGCAGACATTGTGTGAACAAGCGTCCGCAGACAGGTGCAAAGCCTTGAAAGCCAGGATGATGAATGGTGCTGAAATAGCAATTTTGCACTGGGCCGGGCTAGACAGGAAAATGTCCTTGCTTTGGTGCAGTGGTGTCCAATGTTAGCATGGGCAAGTGGGTCCATGTGGGCTCTCAAACTAATCCATGGGTGGTGTGGGGGTCAAAAACCTTGGATTTAATTTCCACAGGTTGCAAACATTGGCTGAACAAGCATGCGGAGACAGGTGCAAAGCCTTGAAAGCTAGGATGAGGGCTTGGAGGGGCGCTGAAGAAACCAGGCCACCCATGGATGATTTGAGCACCCAACTCCCCAGCACATCACCGCACCAATCCAAGAACATGTTCCTCTCTAGCCCACTGCAAAACTGCTATTCCACTGCGCATTTTGAATGGTTTTTGTTCTCACATCTTTGTCGGGTTTTGTTGGTTTCAACGGAGCATCAACCTTTTCCTAAGTAGGTGATAGTAGGTGGTTGTTCATGGTTGTTCCTTTACTTAAATGCTCTTTTACAAAAAGAATCCTGGTCTAGACCCTAGTTCTATGTTCTAGACCCCCAGGAAAAATAATCCAAGATAATTAATCCAAAAAAAAAATCCATGAACTCACGGTACCCTAGGATTAATTTACACAAGGGACCCCCCATGTTATAGGCACCTTGAGAAGAAACCATGATGTGCCTTTACACATCATGGTACACCGAGAGGGAAAACCGTGGGTTGTTTTCAGCTGCTGCTGCTGTCCATTTCCGGGGGCTGCGCTTCGGCTTTGGTCGTCGCGGTGGCTTCCACGGTTTTCGCAGTGTCGTTGGCGGCCACGTCCTGGCTGCATCGTTGGCAGCGGAGATGAGATTCCCTTCCTGGCACCGAACGCATATAAAAAAAAAACAGAAGATGCTAAAACATCAGAATCAAACGATGGATTTTTACCATCGTAAGAAATGTCGTGAAAAAGTGTATCAGATGATAAAAACTTCATTTGTCACGGTTTTAGATTGGGCTTTGCCTCTCTGATGTTCTGCATCTTTGCGCAAACATAACCACCAGCTGACTGGAGAGATGAAGTGACACTGATCCACCGTAGGGGGTGCTACTGGATCCAACAGAACCATGTGTCGGTTTGGGAGTGGTAGCTTAATTCTAGAAGCGATCAGATTCGCGCTTGGCCTTTTCCGAAACAATGAAAGCGCCCCGCAAAGGGAACATAAACAGAAATGCACTGGCTACTTACATACTGTACGATAAGAGTCAGTATTACTTGTGGTAGCAGCCGCTTGATCTTAAGGCCCCAGATTCAGCTCCTCTCTCTTGACTTCAGTTTCAACAGCTTCAGGGACATCCGTCGTGAAGTCGGACTCATTGGGAAGGTTAACATCAACTTCTTCTTGCCTCGCGTCACAGTGCCCCAATGAGGGCTTGCCCGTGAGAAGCAAGTGGCACTGCCTTGATCCGGTATGATCATGTATGATCCAGTTTGAGTTTCCCTGCAACCCATGCCATCATGTTAAACCATGATAAACATATCATATCATAAATTTTCATAAATAATGATCAAAAAACCTGATGCCAACAGATGATCCAAAACCCGTACATAAAGGACTTCTTGAACTTCTTGTTCCGCCTACAGACCACGGCGCCCAGCAGGCACAGGGCTGCCTCGGCAACTGGCATCCAAGTATGGAAACAGGGGGAATGTGGTCGGACCGCCGTGAAATCAATGGTTACATGGAAAGTCACTTGAAATTGGGGCCCACTTTCGAAACAAGACGTTCAACAAGAATTCCGATAGGACGACAAGCGGTCCGATCCAAGAAATAAACACCAAGCATCAAGAATTATTGAGTAACGTCAACCCCGGATAAGACTAAACCCTGCTTGATGAAAATTTGGTGTGGTCCCTCCCAAAAAGATTGTCTGCCATATGCCACTGGGCACACATCCCCTGCAATAAACAGCCCAGGGGTTGCCATTCATCCAGGCATGGAAGGGTGACTTCCTGAAAGGATGATGACTGCGAACCAACGCATCAGCAATCCATCCGTGGGGAAACGACAGGGCTAAGTTTAGGATGAGCCCCAAAGATTCGAACAAATGCACAGATGGATGGTGGGCATAAAACCATATAAAACCATCATAAATCAAATATCCTCATCCCCCTCAATAGCTTTCCATATGGGGTTAGGTCTGTCGTCGAGGTAGGTCACATCGGTGCCGGCGGACCAGGCGGCCACACCACTAGGCCCGCAGCGAAGAAGAAAGGCCTTCGGCTCGAGCTGGAAGCCTTCGGCCTGAGACAGGCGAGGGCTCCAAAAGGCATCGCCGACACTGTAGATATGAGATCTAGAGATAAGATATCTAAGGTTCATACAGTATTACACGCACACACACACATATCTATCTATCTATCTATTGTTATACGTGTTTAAATATCGATACTACACTAAACTATACTCAACTGACAACATCTTGATGACTGGAAACATATCTAAGTGTTGACGGTACACACCTGGATCTTCAAAAGAGCAGAATATTCTGCCCGTTTATGATTTTTGGTTGTTTCAACAAAAAATGCCCGCTTGACTGTCTTGACTTGTTTTGTTCGAGAACTGCCCGCTTCCCACCAAAAGAGCCTGGTCCATTGTCAGCGGGTCAGGTTTTGTCACCCAAATTCCAAGTCAAGATCCGCAATGGAACACGTTTGCAGAAGGAGTTGCACTTCCCTACCAAAAGAGTAAAACCCATTGTTACCCGCTGGCACGAGCCTTTTTGCATTGCGCAACACAAATTCCAATCTGTAGGAAATATAGCATACATGGGCACTTTTCCTGATTTGCGCCCTTTTGCGGATATTTGTGCCCGTTTGTTCCCCACCTGCCAGGTGAGGGTTGTTAGATTTTATGTCAGTTGCCTGGTCCTCCTCCTCCTCGTCCTCCTCCTCCTCCTCTCCTCTCCTCCTCCTCTCGTTGTCCTCCTCCTCTCGTTGTCCTCCTCGTCCTCCTGCTCAACTGCGACTCGCGATCCACAGTGTTCGCTGTCGGACCTCAACCACGACCATCCACGCCCAGTGTTCCCTGCCGGACCTCAACCACGACCATCCACGCCCAGTGTTCCCTGCCGGACCTCAACCGCGAGTATCCGGGCCCAGTGTTCCCTGCCGGACCTGAACCACGACCATCCACGCCCAGTGTACCCTGCCGGACCTCAACCACGACCATCCCCGCCCAGTGTTCCCTGCCGGACCTCAACCACGACCATCCACGCCCAGTGGTCCCTGCCGGACCTCAACCGCGAGTATCCACGCCAAGTGTTCCCTGCCGGACCTCATGTAGGAAGATATGGGACAAAGAATGCGCAGAAGAAAGTTAGAAAGAATGTCAGAAAGAATGTCAGAAGATATGCCAGAAGATATGCCAGATAGAATGCCAAATAGAATGCCAGATAGAATGCCAGAAGATATGTCAAAATATATGCCAGAAGATATGCCAGATAGAATGCCAGATTATATGCCAGAAGATATGCCAGATAGAATTCCAGATAGAATGCCAGAAGATTTGCCAGAAGATATGCCAGATAGAATGCCAGAAGATATGCCAGATAGATATGTCAGAAGATATGCCAGAAGATATGCCAGAAGATATGCCAGAAGATATGTCAGAATATATGCCAGAAGATATGTCAGATAGAATGCCAGAAAATATGTCAGAATATATGCCAGAAGATATGCCAGATAGAATGCCAGATTGAATGCCAGAAGATATGTCAGATAGAGTGCCAGAAGATATGCCAGATAGAATGCCAGAAGATTTGCCAGATAGAATGCCAGAAGATATGCCAGAAGATATGCCAGATCATATGCCAGAAGATATGCCAGATAGAATGTCAAATAGAATGTCAGAAGATCTGTCAGATAGAATGCCAGAAGATTTGCCAGTAAGAAAATGTATAAATGTCATGGTGGGGATCACACGAAGTAAAGTAATTGGGTTTTTGCGCCCGTTTTGCGGTCAAAACTGCCCGGTGTTTTTTTTGATTATCTTTATTTGTTTGTGTAGAATGTGAAGACCAAGACTCCACTCGACATCTGGCTGGCAACTTGTTCAACAAACGGACACCCAATTTCAATCTCCATCAGGATTATCATCTGTTGAAACAAAAAACACGTCCCGAAGAGAGTTGCCAGTAATTGTGGCGACGAATGGCTGAAATGACCAGAAATCAATAAATTTGGCAAAGCAGGCCATTCGGTCAGTTTCTTCTGAGATCTGCCTGTTGGACAAAAAAGTGTATCAAATTTCCAAAAGAGCAAATTACTTTACTTCGTCTGATCCCCACCATGACATTTATACATTTTCTTACTGGCAAATCTTCTGGCATTCTATCTTCTGGCATTCTATCTGACATATCTTCTGGCATTCTATCTGGCATTCTATATATCTTCTGGCATCTATCTGACATATCTTCTGGCATTCAATCTGGCATTCTATCTGGCATTCATCTGGCATTCTATCTGGCATATCTTCTGGCATATCTGACATCTTCTGGCATTCATCTGACATCTATCTGGCATATCTTCTGGCATATCTTCTCTGACATATCTTCTGGCATTCTTCTGGCATCTGACATATCTTCTGGCATTCTATCTGACATATCTTCTGGCATATATTCTGACATATCTTCTGGCATATCTTCTGGCATATCTTCTGGCATATCTTCTGGCATATCTATCTGGCATATCTATCTGGCATATCTTCTGGCATATTTTCTGGCATTCTATCTGGCAAATCTTTTGGCATTCTATCTGGCATTCTATCTGGCATATCTTCTGGCATATCTATGGCATTCTATCTGGCATTCTGTATCTGGCATATCTTCTGACATTCTTTCTGACATTCTTTCTAACTTTCTTCTGCACATTCTTTGTCCCATATCTTCCTACATGAGGTCCGGCAGGGAACACTTGGCATGAATACTCGCGGTTGAGGTCCGGCAGGGAACACTGGGCGTGGATGGTCGTGGTTGAGGTCCGGCAGGGAACACTGGGCGAGGATGGTCGTGGTTGAGGTCCGGCAGGGAACACTGGGCGTGGGTGGTCGTGGTTGAGGTCCGGCAGAGAACTCTGTGGATCGCGGGTCGCAGTTGAGCAAGGACGACGAGGACGACGAGGACGACGAGGACGACGAGGACGACAAGGACGACAAGGATGACAAGGAGGACGAGGAGGACGAGGAGGACGAGGAGGAGAGGAGGAGGAGGAGGAGGACGAGGCAGGAGGCAGGAGGCAGGAGGAGGCAACTGACATAAAATCTAACAACCCTCACCTGGCAGGTGGGGAAAAATAGTGCCCGTTTGAAGATCCAGGCATCACTACAGTAAGCCTCGCTACTCAGTGATTTTAGAAGTGAGTGGGCTCTTTTGCTGCCAATTTTAAGCAGGGGTTTGGACCTGTAGAATCCTGCAACTCCAACATCTGTTCGCAACTGCGATCTTCAAATGTTGATGCGTTAAAAATAGTTCACACAATAAATGAATGAAGACATAGATAAATAAAACATAAGTAAAGAAACAGAACAATGAACGAACCGAAAAAATACACGTTGACATCTCACTACACCATTGCAACAAAGAACAGCTTTCTTCGGGCAGTGTCCTATACATCGACCCACCCACAGCTCAGCATGTCGCACCTCGACGAGGAAGAGGACGCACTCGAGGGCGGGACGATGTCTAGCCGGCTGTCGCCTGGAAGGGTGGCCACTTTTGTGTAACCTTTAGGGTGGTAAATATGGGGAACTATGAAATCTATATACAGTATCTGGAAACAGACAGATCAACATGATAAAACAATCTTTGTAAAATCTCAAAATGGTTGTATATTTAAAAATATATATATATATAGTGTATGCAATCCATCCAGCCATTTCTACCAAACTCCATGCGAGAGCGAAACACGAGGCGATCAAATCATCTACAAACATCATCAAACATCAAAGAACATGAGAATAACTTTACGATAGATACCTGTAAATTCCCCGGCAGGAATATAGCTCACCATCTAATGACTTGCGCCATACCAAAAAGGGCTGTTGCCATTTCGAAGATCACTTTGGGATTGCCTTTGACCACCTTGACCCTCAAAGTGCATTCAAGAAATGGTATCTAGCCACAATGTGGGTAAAGTACCTATTTCTAAAGACTGAGGTCCTATTTGCCGGAAGCTACTTAAACGTCTCATGTGGGTAATACATAGGCAAAAACTTAGGAAGATTTTGTAGATCCTTCAAATATTTGACCCTATAAATATGGGAATGCATAACTCAAATTTGTGCCAAATGTTCTTTTTGGCAAAGCAGAAAAGGTTTCAGTTTGTGTCAATCAGAATGCAGTCGAAACAACCAAGTCTGATTTTGTCTTCCGTATGCTACTCATAAGTTCGGTTTTGTCTGGGTTCACCGAAAACATCTGCATTGAAACAAGGCCGGGCTTAGAGGTCACCATCACGAGCCATGCCGACAAGCTATGCCATGGAGTGGAATGGTCCTTCAAAATGTTGAGACATATCTACAGCCACATTTCTCACATATTCATCTATTGGACTATTGATACTATGTTGCTTTCATCTTGTTCATTCTGTTTTTTCGTTATCAAAATATATCTGGCGGTGACATCTCCCAAGTGCACCTTGAGTCAGGCGTGCACGGCGCTGTTGCGACACAGTCTAGGCCAGGGAACTCAGGGATCCCAGGGATCCGGTGTCCAAGACTCCAAGATCATGAAGCTCCGATATTTGGGAGTTTACCAGCCACAAATGGGTTTCTCTGAGATCGGGTGCTCCAAAAAATCCAAGGTCGGTCAATGAGTCAATCAGAATTTTCCATCTTCGAATGGTCATTTGGGGGGTATACACGGTATACGGTATACACTCCAGGTTTCAGACCGAGACGGGAAGACAGCGGATCAAAAAAAGTATCTATTTTTTGACACTTAAACCATCGACCAAACGTAAACCATGTGGAAATGGAAAGCACTCCTGCCTGAAAATACGGTTAGTTTATTAGAGTCGCCGACTATTAAAGAAGATATTCACATTCGTGGCAAAGCTCGGATCAGCCAATGACGAACCAGTGGCTTCGGCTGGCGATTCAACATGATACAGGCACACCCCAGGGTGATAGTTCGTGAGAGTGCAATCAGTATATGTCCTTTTGCCGCTAAGGGCGCAGCACGGTTCAAAACCATCCAGCAGTCAACCATGATAGCACCATGAACCAGACATACCAGTGTAAACCAATCTGGCGGATGTCCAGCCGCGAGCAGGAGGGAAACTATCCTAAGCCGTTTCTAACCGTCCCCATCCAACTGTAAATACGACAAAGCTTTAATCGTTAGCCTATAGGTATATGTCTTTTAACCATTTTGGAGGTTTCCAATCCACGGTGGGCACCCCCAAAATGATACCATTTTAGTATTGAAACCTAAGGTGACTTGGGGATCCCCCATGACTTAAGAAACGTCCATTTGTCTAGGAGGTCGTTGGCCTATAGATGTAGAGTTTCAACCAATTAGTTACCTAGGAGACCCTTTCGTGCAGGAACCACCTTTGCAAACACACCTTCGCCATTTCGTCGCTCCAAACGCGGTTGCCCTTCTTGGTAGGGGGGGATGGCGCATGGGCGCCCTCGCATTTCCTTGTCACAACCAAGGATTGAAAGATGACAACAAGACAGGCTGAGGTTTATGGCGGTTGCAGCTACAGTTAGACCTGGTTGTAAGCCAACTTCTGATTCTGGGGGACCGCCTTGCAGAAATCCCACAAAATCAGGGTTGGGGGTAATGGGCCATTCTAGAGTGCAATTGGGTTTATCAATAAAGATAGACCGTAAAATGATCCGGGTTGTGGAAACATAGCATGTTAGTCATGAGCCTGTCGAACCCACACACCCACACATATATTATTGAATTAGCATGCAAATGTGGTGTAAGGCAGGCGCTGCAGTAGAGGGCGTTTTAATCTCATCCTTCCGTCTTTCTTGGATACTTTCCCTCCTGTAATGAAACACAGCAATTGAACATCCCTTGTTTTCCCAATCAGCACAGCTCCATGTAAAAGTGATTTTCCAGCTAGTCATGTTTGATTTCTGGAAAATTATTTGCCATTAAAATCCATCAAGTTGCAATTCATAGATGATTTTCCTATTACTGTATATCCTCATATTGTCAAAATATTTGTTGATTATGTATCCCCATTCTATCCCAAAATTACAGGCCTTGTAAACACCATGCAGCTATGGCCCTTTACCAGTTGTAAGTCAGTGAATTAGCTCCGTCTATGGAATGATAACCCCATTTACAACCCTTTAAAACTTACAACTTGCAACTATCTATAACTGGTAAAGAGCTTTAACTGTGTTCCCCTTTGCCAATCTTTGTTCTAATAAACAATCTCCACCACAAACCTCTGAGCCCCCTGGCTGCCGTCGCTTCAACAGCTTCGCTTCCAACTCCGCCGACGCTTCGCTCGCCATGGCCGGCGGTGAGCAATGGAGGTGGTGGTGATGTCAGGGTGGCTATTGAGGTCATATTCCCAATACTTGGGATTCAACCAACCACAATGGCTGGTTGGCGGTTTGTACCCCTCTGAAAAATATTAGCCAATGGGAAGGATTATCCCATATATTATGGAAAATAACATGTTCCAAACCACCAATCAGATGGGAATATGATGGACATATAATCACGAAAATGACAATGTTGCCTTCGGGTAATTTCACAATGGAACATGGATGAACATGTGCCATTCAGTTCGATGGTTTATCCGTAATTTGAATTGTGATTTTCAATGGCGATGTCACGCTACCACCACAGGGGAGCCCTGTGATATCCCCATGTTCGTGCCTCAGCCTCAGACGATAATCCAGTCAGTCTTAGCTAATACGGTTGGCAGCGGGAAAAGAAACTCCCCCAAACCACCTTGGCTCAAGTTTGTGAAGCTCTGTAGCTTGGTGCAATGACCCTACTGGCTACTCAGAAAGAACATACGGGTAGTGGTGAAAGTGTTCATGCTCGGGTCGCATGCAGGAAGCACTTTAAATGATTAAATCGATTCAAGCAGGGCTTGTAAACACATGCAAAAAAATAGTGTGGATCAGTTCAGAGCCTCTTGGCTGCCTTGTCATTCGCGCAGTCTGATGATATTGCTTTGCAAACATGGAACAACAAACTCATGGGCATCTGTTCAGTGCTGGGAAGGTGGTTGCTTCTCAACATAGGATCCGGAGTGACAGGTGCTGATCTGGGCTGGCCTGGGCTGATATACATCTATTTAGGCTAGTCCTTGTCTCACCATCAGAAAAGTGCTTTGAATATGACCTGAAGAACTTTGCACAAAAAAACTGGGACAACCCAACGACAGTGGTCATCCGGAGAAGAATGGCAAAATACAAATGTATATAATATTATATATATATATACATATGTAAAATTGTGTGTTTATTTGTAACTTATACAAATCCAGAGGACATGCAACCAACAAGAGTCAAAAAGGGTTTACAAATGATTGCCCATGTCCATTCCATGTTATAATTCGGACATCAGGGCCGTCACCCCCAAAAACCTCCACTGCCGCTGCAGCACAGCATTTCAGCAATAGGCTCCTGCGCCTGGTTTTTGTGTCGCTGGAACTAGGCCATCCAGGTAGGCACTGTGACTTCGCCAGGCGATGGCAGCGGTGAATTTCTGTTTGCATGGGAGCTAAAGACGAAAGGCGAAAGGGTTAAAGAACGGCTGATATAATGGTGAATGCCCTGGCAAATATCGTGGTCGATATCATGGTTAGTATTAAAATCATGATGAATCAGAACCCCATGGCATTCGTGGACAACAAACACTACAATATCTTGCAGTATCCTTCTGTCATTGCAAGTCTCGATTCCTTGATTATCTAATCTTCACAATCGAAGGTGACACAAGAATGGCAATATGCATCACAACATCATCAGGGTACCCATTACAACGCGGGCGTATAACTCCCAGGAACTCCTGCAATGCGATGGATCTCTTCCATCTTGAGGTCTCACATCGATGGCAGCACACTTGGGAGCAAACCCCATGAGACCTCCCAGCAATCCCTCTTAATATTAAACACCACCTTGGAAACCATGGTTTAGTAGAGAATTTCAACATAATTCGGTCAATTTTATTTGGGGGGTGTTTAATATTAGGGGGGTGGGATTAATTAGTAATTGTGTTACTGATTTTTTTCCATCCCTCCATGGGTCCAGGCACCATGCCATCAGCTGCACATCACCAGCGTCCACCGCTGAGCCCTTTGGCCCTGCGTAACCTTCGCCGGCTCAGAGTTCTGATGCCTTGGGCGAACTGAGGATGTCATCATAGTGATATCAGCGGCGGTACTTATTATTACAGACACACATGCGCGCACGAGCATGTTAACACGCGCACAAGTATGCATATATACACACTAAATATATGTATACATAGATGTAAGTAAATAGAAATGTATGTATAAAAACATATATGTATGTATGTGTTTATGTATGTATGTATATAATCCCTTCCCCCTAGTACTAAACCCCCCACCCCCCGACCAAATAATAAACATCTCACGTAGTTTTTTTTTGGGGGGTGTATTTATGATTAATTAGGGTGCGAAGCTTCCCCCTAATACTAAATTTAAACCCTAAAATCAAAGCAACATTTTTTCTATTGCAAAATCGATGAGTTTTCCTTTAAAACATTATCAAAGTATTGCCAAAAATTGGATTTCGAGGCTACTAAATTTAAAACCCTAATATATTTTTTTCTATTCTTAAAATATTGCCACAAATTGGATTTTGAAGCTTTCCCCTAATATCAAATAAACAACCTGAATATAAAATACTTTGGTTTCGACCTTAAAAGACGGACCCTTATAAAAAAACAACCCGGGGCTGACAAGTTTTTAATATTAGGGGGTGAAACCCTGAAATGGTAGCTTCATGTTTAAATTGCTTTCTAAAGGGGATCAATTACACATCAAAGTGGCCAACCTCAAATTTTCCAAAATTGGAGACGGACCCTAGTTTTTATTATTTAGGGTGTTTGCTGATAGGGGGAAGGGATTATACAGACAAATAAGGATATGTAAATATATATATATATACACACACGCTATGAAAAATCTACACACACTATATATATATATATAGATATGTATCTATTTTTACATATATATATATATAAACATATTTGTGTATTTGTGTGTGTTTTTTCTTGTGTGTATTCTCAAAGTTGCATAAATAAATATATCCATATAAATACATTCACACATGTATATGTACAGCTATGCAGTTGGAGGTATGTGCATAATACCTATGTAGTATGTTCATTCCCTTCACAAAGCTGTGTGAATAAACGGTTGAATAATGATGGAGGACAGTTTCGCTTGTGGGAAAACATACACATGGATTGCAATATTTGTTTCTCACACTCATCGCTTTGAAGATGGGTTCCATTTGACGGTTTTTCATTGGAACCTGGTGGCCGTGATCGGCCCAAGTCAAACGAACAAGCCGTACAGGGGGACCCTCACTGTAGTCCAGCCAATGAAGGATCTGGTTTTCCATGGTCTTCCGTGGCTTCTCATGGCTTTCCCCAACCCCCGGCAAAGCCGAGGCCCTGACGTGCGGCCGCACCACCACATTGTCTTCGATCCACTTGAGGTATTTCTCATTGGCTTGGATAGGATGCCATTCCCAATCTAAACCGCCAAATTCAATCTCTATCTGTTCCTGGCAGGAGGCTTGGATGCGGGACATACACACAAACATGGTTTCAATCCCAGGTGTTTTGAGGATATAACGGGATGAAACAACCTGCGGGCCGTTTTAAGTTGGCAAACAAAAAGTACCTGGACCTGGAAGCAGGCCTTGACCATTGACAATGGTAGGCCCTGACCGGAGATGGGTTTGCTTGGGAGGGGCCCAGGAGTTCAATTCAACATAGACAACATTGCCCAATTGCAGGCTATCCAAACTTCATGGGTCCTTGGTAGCACCTAAGGTCTTCAAGGTGATGGTGAACTCGCTGTCTGAGTCTGCTTTCAGTTTCGCCACCTGAAGGCCCCAGGCAGCGGCAATACGAAGACCTAAAGTTTGCCCGCCCAAAGGCTATGTTTTTTGATTTATATTACTACTCCATTTAACTGCAAGTAATAGCTACCCCCCAGAAAAAATGTATGAGTTATAAACTTTAAACTTAGCTAACAAACTGGTGCATAATCTTGTAATGGGTTCCATATGCACATGAAGTTGACCGGGAAAAAACGGAATTCACCTTTCCTCAACAGAAACATCACCTGTATAGCCTCTATATATATTTATGGAAAACGGAAAACTCATGAAGAGTTTTCACTGACAGGATATCCTACAGGAGAGTAAGAACACAACTATAATAGCAGCTAGTTGCTTTGAATTGTGCTGCTGGCATGTTGCTCGTTTTACTGTAAGTGTATTTGCCCACTGGAAACAAGGGGTAAAAAATGCATTAAAGACACCTTCTGAACCTCGAAACTTTCGAGGTAGCAATGTCGAGACGTCACTCCAAGTTGGGTTTTGTTTCGGTTGGCTACTGTGCCCCAGCCGAATTTTGCCGCTACAGTCAGTCCGCAAAATGCCGAGTGACACCTAGCAACCCGAAGATATTTTTTTACGTCCATTCGTACAGAGACTTCATATATTGATGAACAGCCAAAGGTTTCTTTGGTTCATTCGACGCCACAATTTGGAATGGTGACTGGATTTGCTTAAGTCAGCGTTGAAAAAACAAACATATTCATTCATATGTTCGGAATAGATTCACCCGTCAGGGAGGGCTCACCCATGGGAAAATATCAAATAATTCTAAACAAATCGTTGTTTATACACATGTCTGGCAAGTCATTGGAGCTGATTGGACTTGTTGAACTGTTGCCTTTTTTGGGGTGTACCCCCCTGGAATTTATTCATGAGGGGTTGACGCAAGGTGGTGCCCCGCAAATTCAAAATTGGTTTCAAACCCAACCTAAGTATATATATATATATATTCTATAGTTACAATAATCCATCGTTATATATATCCCTATGAACCATCGTTATATTCCCTATGAACCAACTTACCTAGTTATCGGGCACCACCTTGCATTATATGCATTTACCCTCTGGTTGCTGAGCATAGCTGTGGAAAATCGCCCATGTAGTTATATATGATTTATGACGATTTACCTTTTAAACGTGATGATGTTCCAGTTTGCTACCTTAAGAACCCGAGAGTAAGATCCTGTTTGCATTCAATGTCCATACAATGACCAATTTCCCGTTCTATGCTCACTAAAAGTCCTAGAGATGGAATTTCCAATGCATTCCCATTATCTTCCAATTTGCCCATCCAAATACCAACAGAAAAATATGGCATTGTGGATCCCAATCCTCTCACCTGGCCTCGCCTGAGCGCATGCTGCAAATTTCACCTGATGACCCGCAGTTTTCGATGGGCCCATGGGCCCGGCACATGGCAAAAGCGGTCGTTTTCACTGGGCACAAGTAAGGGCTCACATGGATAAGAGCAGTAAATCGCAGCAAAAAATCTATGAGCATGTTGGATTCTGAGCGCCACAGTTGACTCTGAACATCGCGCGCATTCACATTCAGCAGTGGTCGGGCGGCCACAGCAGCTTAACCCTGCTAGAGGATCGCGCATGATCACCAAAAGCCGCACAGTAGCAAAGCTTCCTTTTTGGAAAAGCAAGAAAACAGAATCAACCCTAGGCACCTAGCCTGTCGTAGTTTCATGTCTACTAAGTCTACTGTACTCACAGTTTTCCAGTAAACAATTCATTCTCACCTCTGTCTTGCCCAGCCTAGCCAAGGAACCATAACCATATATATATATATTAATGCCACATCTAAATTATTATGGGCATGATCATCATCTTCGAGGCTTCTTAAAGATGGTGTTTTCATATTGATAACAAACACAAAAACCATAAACACATAAATTCATGGTGTTTCCTTCAATTTGTTTCACTTCATTTCATTTCGTTTCGTTTAATTTCATTTCATGTCATTTCGTCCGTTCATAAGTTCATTCCTTTGTTCGTTCGTTCATTCATTCATTCATTCACACACTCATTTCATTTCATTTCATTTCATTTCATTCATTTCATTCATTCATTCATTCATTCATTCACTCATTCATTCCTTCATTCATTTCCTTCATTTCCTTCGTTTCATGTATTTCATTCATTCATTCCTTCCTTCCTCCATTTATTCATTCATTCTTTCATTCGCTACATTACATTACATTACATTGCATTGCATTACGTTACATTACATTACAATGCAATACAATACATTACAATACATTACATTACATTCCATTACATTGCATTACATACTTGAATTACATTACATTACCTTACCTTACCTTACATACTTACATTACATTACCTTACCTTTCCTTACCTTACCTCACATTACTTTTCATTACATTACATACATACATAAATTACATATATACATACTATATTCATGGGGAAAAACACACCCAGAAAGCACACGCTTTCCATTTTCCCCATGAACATGTGTAACACCCCCTTTTTCACCAACGGCACGCACCACCACGGCCACCTCCACGATGGACTTGGCCAATCCATGGGCCACCTCCATGGTGGTGCCGTTCACCAACGCCAAGGCCATGGCGTGCTTGTGGGAACTGTGATCCTCCTGGATGCAACACGCTGTTGAGCTTTGCATAGCATTGGGCAGGGGCTGAGATGGGAAGCTTGCATCGGAAAATCGATAGATTTTGAAGCAGTTCTTGGCTTTTTTCTGCTGAGTTTCTAATTAATCATTTTCTGGTAGTCGTCATCAAGGGTTGGAGATGATTGGAGGATTGAAAGATTGTTTCGAAAGCATAAACGATGTCGCGAATACCCAATGCACAAGCATAATTTCATCCAAAGCCAACGAGCAAAAGACTTGGGAATTCTACCCGCAAAAGGGCTCAACTTAAAATTAAGCCAACTAGCCTGCGATGCAGAAACTCTTAAAGTTCTGGTCCTTCTAAAAATAAATCAGGTAAAAACTCCTGCAACTCAGGTTGGGGATCACTTGAATGAGGTTACAAACCAATTAAAGCTCTAACTGTAGATATTCATAGCTCCAAATCGCTCCCTTCTAACAGGATGGCCAGGCCCACGGCGCCTGGGAATCCAAGTGAGCACTGGACACAATCATGGGCAAGTCATAGGGATGATCCGCCGACAAACCTTCCAAGAGAACAGAGAATGGTACCTGCAGCGACGCTGAATGTTTGTGGGAAAAAAAACATCATATCAACACCCAAAACTAGAAGGACTCAGTAAAATGAAAGTCTATTTTGTGGGCATGGGGCACCTGTTTTTACAGCAGCACTACAATCCAACTTTGGGGCATGCAGCTTGAATGTCCAAATGTGGAACATGGAATGGATTGACTAATTTGATCAGGTTGCAATGCTAACATTTGGTACATACGAATGCTGCGTGCATCCTCCATGAAGCATCTTAACTTGCAGTATTGGCCCGTCAAGCTGACTGGCTGATGTTTAGAGATTGAATTTGGGTCAACTTTCTGAAAACGAATGGCATTCCTGGTTCCTGGCATTCTTCATTGCTATGTGCAGCTTCGTCAAATTTTAGAAATCTGGCCATTTGCAAACATCATTCCCGGGGCCTGATAATATGATCGGGGGGTCCAATCACACCCGAAAAACATGGTATTAGTCTTAAAAAACAATCCCTGGATGACTGGATATCCCCGGAATAAAAATGATTATAACAACATTACATATCAAGATCCCGGCTATATACCTATCATATCCCTATACAGCACGACACTCCGTCGCTGACTATGACATGAGCCCATGGCCGAAAACTGGTGGAGGCTTCAGCCAACCTCAACGAATATTGGTCAAGGCGGACCACGTGCCCAAGAAGGAGCCGAAGATCCACGACATATTTGAGAACACCATCCAGCTACTGAAGGAACAAATCAGCAATAGTCTGAATAAGTCACTTATAGCAAATCCCATTCCACACCCAATGTCAACTGCTGTTGGCAGTAAAACAACAAATTCCCCTTGCAAGCCAAACTAGGCGCGCATAGTTTTAAACAATAAAACCAAGAACCATCTAGTCGCATTTAGTGGTTAAACTATGTTAAACTATCCGCATTTAGGTAGGTGCACAAAAAATAGGTTATTCCGCATCGTCACCACCACCATCACCACCAACATCATCACCATCATCACCAGCATCAAACAAGTAGACTCAGACACTGAAAACACCGACCAAATGGCTTACCTTGATCTGTTCACATATAGGATGCACAGGTTGAAACAGTTGAATACATTACATTTAAAACATGTTTCCTGAAGAAGTCAGCGTTTCATATCCAATGATTGATGATTAGTGCCGAACACGCTCACCTCGAACTTGTTTTCTCATGTCCCGGGCGCATCGGAATCGATCGTGGCTCGGACTTCATCCTCTTCCTGGACAGCTGATGTCGGCGATGGCACAGCTGGCCGTTTCAAACCATCATTTCAAAAATGGGTCCATGTTTAACACCCCAAACTTATAGGATATAGATGGAATTAAAGATGTTATTCCCATTCCTCTCGAACATTCCAGGGAGATGTCAGAAAACAGGTTATATACATGATTTCTATCCATATACACATCCCAGGACATGATGGCATGGGCATGTTGGGTTCAACTCTGAATCCTTGGGGTGGAGGATGTCTATGTACAGTACCCCTCAAACCACCCGAGGAATTTTAACTTCCGCATCTGCCACTGAGGCCGCAGGCCTGAAGTGCTCCGTCCCACCAGAAGAAGGAACGGATGTCTTCCAGGTGGGTGCTCTCCAGGGAATAGTTCTGTGGATGCAATCTTGCCCTGGCGAGACATGGCTGTGAGTCATGGCACCAGACCGCACCTTAATTACCCAAGAAAGCATAGCTGGGAGCTATGGATGTTAATTCCCGGATGGTAATTTTAAAGGCTTTGGCCCATCCCCATTTTGATAATGACTCTGCTGGTGCTACACCAGCAAACAGTCAATCACGAAAGTCATCATGTGAGCTAAGGATGAAAGCAGCAAAAAGATGTATAGTCATCCCAAAAACGATAAACAAGTAAATCACCATTTATGTACAGCAAAATAATGAAAGAAAAGCAGACCACCATTGAAATAGTGAAGATCTGCCACTTTTCTAACTGCTTGCGCCTTGCTATCAATAGTGTCTCCAAACACAATGATACTACAGGGCGTTCGCAAAAGGCCAGGGGCACTCCAGCTGACTTGCCAGCTGTTCTCCAGCACTTCTGTTGGCCACCGTGGTCGACCTGTGGTTTCAGCGCCCACAAAAAGGGGAATCATCATTCGACGACAAACCGGAGTATATAATATATATATATACTGTATATATTTGCAGGTGGTTGAAACCATGGACTTGTAATACACGCTTGGATGTGAAGATGATATGAAGTGAATACACCTGGCCTTTAACACTGAAGAGTTTCACCCAAAACATTCTCCTGTTTTAAAAGAACTCAGAATTATTAACTACATGTTTGCAAGGACCCTGAATGAATCATCCAATACTTAGGTTTCTGGTGCAATACTGTATCTGATATTCGGGGGGATTAATGTTGTTTTGAGTGTTGTCTTTGGAGGGATGGCTTTCCGTACAGGCCATACATGCAATCACTTCAGTTCGATGCGTTCAGATATGTAAACACCCTTTTCTGCCCCGGATTCGGATGATACAATGCGTTTAGAGCATACCCAGCTACAAATGTATAGGTTTAATTTTAATGCCTTTTCTTGATGATGAGCCAGATACTAAAGCCACTGCCTTCACTGCATTGAAAAAACGGAAGTCAAGCCTTTAAATTTAAATGTGAAATGTATCACCAGAATCAGTCGTCCGATGATAAAGAAGATGCGGTCTTCAGCCTTGACCCACCGTCAACCCCAAATACATTGATGTGCATTCCAGAAAGTCATAGATTATTAAATAAATAAATATATATATATATAGCCTACAAAACCTTTCCTTATTTAAATATAAGAATATAATATGGTTAATATCCACTTTCTAACTGGGATGCGTCCGCGCTTGGAGGATCATCCACCTGAGTATGACTGGTACATGCAACCCTGGCGATCATAAGTTCCGATTCAGTGGGTTGCCCCATGTAAAAATAGGTGACCTAAATCTGGCTATTTCTACATTTGTTCAACTCTTGTGGTTTTCCATAGGTATCAGTGCAAACATTTTTCTAACTAATATGTTATGAACTATGGTTCCAAATTTATAGTGAACTAACTATGCTTCACAATGGGTTCCACACATATAATATATATATATATAGATCATATTACCATAGTTTTTGCCATTTTCCCCTTGATCCAAGGCATCCAAGGCATCCAAGGCATCCAAGGCACGCCCAATCGGCCGACGCCAAAGTCGCCCATGTGGCGACGGTCGCGAGGACGTGCATCGTGCGATGGGCGGCAGCGCTGCGGCAGCGGCACTGGGTCCCAAATGGCGCTGCGGCGGAGGCGCGGAGAACAGGCCACAGAAACATTGTTGCTGTGTCAAACATTCGTTTTTGATGGTGGATTTTAATGCGCTCATGTTGAGTATTTAAGAACATAAATGGAAACACATAGCCCATACCTCCAAATATATATATATATATATTTATGATATATATATATATATGTATTATCTACATACATACATACATTACATTACATTACCTTACATTGCATTACATTACATTACATCACATTACATTACATTACATACATTACATACATTACATACATACATACATACATACAAACAAACATACATGCATGCATACATCCATACATGCATACATACATGCATGCATACAAACATACATCATGCATACATACATGCATGCATACATATATACATACATACATACATCATGCATACATACATACATGCATACATACACACACATACATACATACATACATACATCATGCATACATACATACATACATGCATGCATACATACATACATACATAAATTACATACATACATACATACATCATGCATACATACATACAAACACATGCATACATACATACAAACACATACATACATACATACAAACACATACATACATACGTACATACATGCATACATGCATACATACATACATACATCATGCATACATACATGCATGCATACATAAATACATGCATACATAAATGCATGCATACTACATACATTACATACATTACATACATTACATTACATTACATTCCATTACATTACATAACATTACATAACATAACATTACATAACATACATACATACATGTTTTCCCCACTTGCCAGGTGAGGGTCTCTATTAGAGTGACTTCCTTCCTTCCATCCTTCCTTCCATCCTTCCTTCCTACCTTCCTTCCTTCCTTCCTCCCAACAACGAAATCCAGATCTCAGTGGGCACTGCCGGACTTCAACCCAAGCCACTGAGATCTGGCGCTCGCTGCTGAGGCCTGGCAGTGCCCATGTCAGAGAGAATGCCACAATAGATAACAGAGAATATGTCAGAATAGATGCCAGATAGAATGCCAGAATAGAATGTCAGATAGAATTCCCGATTAACATCAGAAAATCTATGCCATATATACTTCCAGATGACATTCAGAAACTATGACAAAATAATGTCCCGGTGGGGACCACCCGAAGTAAAGTATATGGTTATTATTCCAAGTCTGGGAAATGACTTGTTTACCCAATTACTTTCCTGAACCGCATCAAGCAGTCTAAGATCTTCAAAATCTTCCCATGAGTGACCAAGAAAAGATGGAGGCAATGCAGCTATTGACCTTCTCAGACGTGGATATGGGCATGCAGAATGTAGGTTTGGCCCGTGGAACATTGCAGAAAACACCCTCCCCAAAGGCCACCCATTTGCCAGCCATGTTGTTCGTGGCAAAATATGGCTCACCAACGCAGGCAGCCGTGCATTTTTTTTGCTCTTGTAGCAAAAGACAGTCATTTGCAACACCGGCAGAGTCATCGGCGGGTGAAATTCCAAGTTTCTTTGGTTTCCAGGGATATGTTTGCTCAACTGATTCTTTAAATATTCTTTGGGTTACAACTCGACATATGGCAACACCTCCCAACACCCGCCTAAAACTGCAAATTGGGTCCATAAACTGTGGGTTTCAGCGCTTGGTAAGGTGGATAAAATTTGTTCCCGGCGTCTTGATTGTTTTCTGTACGAATTTTGAAGCTGTCTGTGCCATCTGGTAGGCTGACCTGTTGGCGGGGATCCACTCTGGACAAAAAACAGAACGGCAGCCCCTGGGAGTGCAGTTTTCCCATGATTTAAGATGATACTTTGAGATGTTTTACTGATGTTTCACTGCACTCCCAAAGGCACTTTGACAGCTTTGCCTGTGATTCATGCCAATTTCCTTGAAGTACCCCACACTTGTTAAAAACCTTGGAGGAAAAAAACAAAACCAAAAAACAAGAAAAACAAAAACAACAATATTTCTAGACTCTTTGGAAGGGGGGGGTCCCAGCCAAGACTCTCTGATTTTTTTGTTTTTCCAATGTTTTTTTGGTTTTGGCCACTTTCAGCCATTTGCACCTTTTTGTACACTGGCCGTTCGGTGTCTTCATGCGTTCAAGCTTGCAGGAACCCATCGTTTAACCACTGCAGCTATGAACATACTTGGTCTGTGGATCAAGACTGCGTGTTCCAATTTTGAAATGTTCAGCCATGTCCTAGATAATAACCTTAGTTTTATGCTATACTTTTTGAAAAAATGTTGCATAAATTGGTAGCACACTTTGCTGAAGTAATACGACCATCTTCTCAAGCATTATTATATTGCATCATCGATGGAATCTGCTGTAGACTCATGTTACACTTTCTTGGAGGGATGCTACACAGATTTGCCAAGAAACTATTCACTTTTAAAGTAGATATACATACACACGCACACATAAATATGTATATATATATATACACATACAGTGTGTGCATCTTCAAAGGAAGGCTTTCCTTGATTGACACAGATTTTGCACAGTTTGCAGTAATATAACATGTTTTTTTCGAGCAAATGCTGCACTAGTTTGAAAGAAACATTGTATATAGGTATTTGTGCTACTGCACTCTTTGCATAGACATGTAGCACTTGTTTACATTGCCATAATTATACTTGAATTATACTTGAATAAGTTTGCATTAAATTTTATGATTTATAATTACAATGTGTTTTGCGTTGTTTGAAGCCATATTCTACTTTGTTTACAAAGATAAGATATGCTGCACTCTTTGGAAAGGCATTGCTTGCAGAAGGTGGTGCAATACTTGCTTTACAACAAAAAACACATATTTTTAAACAGGCTTTTGCATCATCAATGGAATCTACAGTAAGCTCTTGCTACACTTCCTTACAATAATGCTGCACACTTTGCAAATAAGAATCTGCACTTTCAAAGGTAAAACACATGTTTCAATGAATGTGTCAAAACCATGCTGTAGTAATTCAAGAATAGATGCTATCTTTAGAAAACAGCATGTTACATGTTCCTATAGGAATGCTACGATTTCTGAAATAATTCAATACATACATAGGAGTGTTCCCCGCGAAATTGAGAAGTAATGCTACACATCTTTGAAAGAACGCAACAACGTTTGCAAAAGGTTGTGGCATACATGGAGGAATGGTGTTCTTTATGCAAAGTCATTTTACAAGTGATCTTTGCATGTTTGTTTACCATTGTTATTTATAGAGAACATATTGCATAAATTGGTGCCTGTTTAAAATGCACATGCTTTAAACGCTACTCATCTTTGAAACAATGCCACACTTTTTGCAAAGGGTTGTTACATTGAGGAATGGCATTCTTTATGCAAAATCATTTTGCAAGTGCAGTTTGCGAATCTATTTTTCCTTCATTGTTTATAGAGAACATATTGCATAAATTGGTCCCTGTTTAGAATGCACATGCCCAAAAAGACTATTGCATATGTTGAGGGAAACTCCTGTAGAGATGTAGAGTCTATACATTCTTAAAGCAACGCTGCACTCTTTGGAAAGGCATTTGCACTTGTTTGTTTTGCTGCTTTTATCTATTATTCATGTTTGTTTTGGCTCAAACTATGTATCTATGTAGGACATTGGGAGAGCTGTTGAGAATGCACAGTGGTTGCTTTTGTTTCAGAAGCAACAATGTTTGGTTTTGGAAAGAACAGGTTTTGGTATCAAAACTTATGAAACAGCGCACTCCCACAGCCTGCCGCTCTCAAAAAAAAGGGCAACCTGCAACAATGATCTCCGTGCCCCTAATCGAAAATCTTTCTCTTGAGGACAGAACCAGGTGGACCCCATGCCCTGAAATTGGTTGAAATTGCAACCCAAAACCAGGCACATGCATACAGGAGTTGGTTGGAATATTCATGGCAATACTGTGACAACGGACGGAAGCTCGGCTTGCCCATCCCCAAGGTTTACCCAGAAACAATTGATCTTCCACAGGCCCCTCAAGTTTGCAGCCCCTTGACTCTGCCACTACATCATGCCAAGTGCTGGGCAATGCTTGGTTAGCACGCCCCGAATTCACACCACCGGCTGTGGGCATGTCAAACACAAACGGAATGAAACGCATGCAATTTCAGGAAACATGCCCCTCTCGCTCATTTCATATCCCCATGGATGGCGCTTAGATGAGCCATGAGATTGTGAAGCTGCTTAGTAACTGGGTCATAACCCACGAACTATCCTCATTCATAATCCATTTGCTAACCAGTTAGCTGACTCCATTGCACGTCCGATTCAATGGTTGCTGTTAACCATGGCAGCTCACTAACCAATGGTCCATGGCTCATCTATTTATCCACTGGTTGATTATAACATATAGGAGATGTTGATGTTCCTTCAGGTTATTTCCTACATCTACCCCGATTTTGGCACTTACCGACCTGCACGGGCCAGCTGGACTCAGGCACCGGCCTGCGCTTTTTTCCGGGCAGATCGCGGGACAGACCCGAGTGTTCCTTAAACGAATGTAAACCCATCAACTATAGATCTACTTCAATGAACCCATAATAAACTTCAATGAGCCCAAATGAGCCCATATGAGCCCATACAATCCGTTTCCCCTTCTCCAATTCGTTATGCAAAGCCCCATGGCCTATGGTCCCAAATATGTGGCTTCCCCTGCTCCACCATGGTTTCTGCTGCACCTCTGGGGCGTCATCCTGCCGGTGAACTCATGAGGCACTTGGGATACACTGAATGCATCTGTCTATTGATTTTGTTGAATCGATCTGTACGTCCACCTGTATATTCTTGTCAATTCTCTCTGTCAAACATCTTTTTTTCGATATTTTTTGGATGCCGGTGTGAATGATGGAATGTTTGGGAACAAGACATGATCGGGATGATCTGCCGTGGTCAAAGAAGCTACATCCACCTTTGTCTCCAATCATTGGGCACTGGAAGAGTTGGAGGACTTGTGCTTTCAACACATGCTGGACGCACGCAACTCCAATTAGAGAGAGAGAGAGGGCAAATGAGAACGATATGTACTGCTACTGACCGTACAGTTCTGGCCCTATACCAGTTATAAGTCAGTAAGTCATCCCATTTATGGTTCGTGATAACTTCAAAAAAACATTTATAACCATCTACAATTGGTACAGGGCTTTAACTGCAGATGGGTGGGCCCAGCGGGTCCACTCCTCAGAATCAGCTGGCTCAAAGGTCTTGTCGCATTCCTGGCACGGGGAGCCAAAGAAAGTCATCAGAAACATAGAAGCTCCTGGTCTTACCGGGAAGAATGGTGACTTTACAGGATAAAATTGTGGTGGAACCCGGGAAAAAAAGGTGATGTTAATCAGCAAAGGTGGGATTTAGATCGCTGATCAATTGCAAATAGGCTTCTGAAAATGCAACATGGCAATGAAAACCCCTTTTTGCCGGGAAAACCATCTGCAAATGGATGTGCGTGAGGCATTTATAACTACCACATTTGACAAATGTTTCCCATGCAATGGTCCCATGGATTCGGCCTTCAGTCTGATGTTCCCAGGATTTGGTCAAGGCTTTCACCTCAAATTGCGCTTCTAAGACCTGCGCGGACCGGAGTTTTAGGTCATTTGTTCCAAAGGATCTGGGAAAATCATTGGGTTTTACGGTGCACCAAAACAACCATCTAGAAGTTTTTTTGGAAGCTTAAAAAACAGCAAAAACAAATTACTATTTCTTCTCTAATAACTCAGTTATTTTGATTTCACCGACTCAAAAAGGCTCCAAGTGGCATGTCGCTATCACGGCTACATCAGCACCTCACGTTCAGCTTGTTTCTCTTGGTAAGACTTGGAAATTCGCTTTTCGCCTGGCGCCATGAGCTCAAATGGAAAACCTGAAGACATCTAGTAAGCCGTCCCAAGAATCAAATGTGGGTCTTAAGGAATGCAACTGACTATTGTACAAAGCCAGGTCTGACTAACCATGGCTACCGCTAACCACCGGACTAATCACTTGATTGTAGGCAAGTGGTAGGCCGCCATAGGTCTCGGAGCATGTCGATTTTAATCAAGCCGCAATGGCTGGTTGGTGCTGGTTTGGATCTTGAGAAATGGTAATACTTGGTGGTTAAGGGGATTGATATGCCAGGGCACCTGGAAAAGCTTGAAAACCATATGAAAACCATGTGGGAATGTAAGCCTCCATGCTGCTGCTCGTTCTGAAGAACAATTTGGATGGTAACAAGCCTGACTTTCCTGCAATGTAATCCTCAGCCCTTATTACAAAAACCTCCCCCTCCCCCCAAATCGTAAACAAGGTGATCTATTTTTATTCTTAGGGGGTATTTAGTATTAGAGTGCCCCTTTTCCAACGAAATCCCCAACAACAAAAAAAGAAAAACCCGATTTCAATTTTGATTAAATCACTTGTTAAATTCTATATAAAATATTGCCAAAAACTGGATTTCGAAGCTTTCCCTTAATATTCCAATGAAAACCTTAATAAAAAAAGACAAATCAAACTTGTGAGATGGGCCCCTAATGAAAAACCTCCAGATGGCAATCTATTTTTAATATATACTATGGGGTTGAACCCATTGTTTCACCATCCTGGTCTCCTATTGATTCTCAATTACCACAATTAAGAATCCAATTGTGCCCAACCAAAAAAACCGGAAGTGCCACACCAATCCTTTTTTTTTACTTGGGGGAGTTTTAGTAATAGGAAGAAGGGATTATTTCCCCCCAACTAACTCCGAAAGAGCTATGTAAGTCAAACCATACAAGCCTCCCAATCAAGCCTTCGTGGGCTCAATCCCAAAACCTTCAATCAACCATCCTCCTGGATGAAAAGTAAAAACTCACTAACCTAAAATGTGGCCATTTTGTCGTTGTGAGATATACAGGTATAGTTTCCTAAGTCGTAAGCATCTTTTTGAATGATGTCGTGGTAACGTGGTTAAAAGACTAACCAGGCCCTCCCATGGTGGCTTCCCCCGGTGACCTTCTGAGAGGAGCAGCATGCTCATGGAGTTTCGCCTCGGTCTCTGGGGGTTCAATAGGTTCTGATGGGATATATCCTGCCTTCTTGAAGGTATTGGAGATATCGTGGTGATATATAACCAGTACATACCAGTACTGTGGTGTGGATTTGTCCTTTCGGGTTCGTAGGTTCTCTCTACGCACTGCAGCCCTTCCCCGCCCTTTCCCGGGCTCCCCAGCGGCACAGTCTTCTTGTACATGCCACGGTGGAAGGAACTGCCAGTAATCAAGCCGCCGGCCTGAGCATGGATCAGCATGTCAGCTTGGCCAACCTTAGATACCCTGACGCAAAATGTTGTTTCTGTAGCTGGTGATGGATGGTAAATACGTAACGTCCGAATTCACGAACAAAAATTGAACTATCAACGTGCCTTTACCCCAGCTGGGCAATGACCTGCACGCCTGTGGAGGGTATCAATATATCGTGGTATGAGTACAGCCCCCAACAAAAGTCTTCGAAGTTTTTCTCACCCCCAGCAACAGACTCTTATACAAGTATCAAATCGACAAGACCTGCACCATCAAAATCAAATAGAAAGGCAAAATTCAATTAGCTGGCCTGGAAATGTCTTGGCATATATATCTGGGGACAATTTTCCAAGCCAGGAGAGACAAAACTGAACCCTGCCTAAAACTAAATAATATAAACCGGAGCCACATGTGTTGTCCAAAACTCATCCAAACCCACACTGCCCAATACCAATGCCATCCATGCATGGATGTTTGCGGACATTTACCCCAAACACGGCCCGTCCATATCAGTAAATATTCCAGCATGAAATGCGGTCTTTACCATCTGAACATATCTGCACAACATCTCACAACCAAACGCCGCCAGCAGAAAGTGCTTTCCCAACCAATTTCAAATTCCTACCCTCTGGTACTTTGTTTCGTAGCTATTGACAATGGCCCATTTATAATTGAATTACCTATTACAAATGATGATTTTCCATAGCTATGTTAGTTTACCAGAGGGTACACCACACCACCCCAGCTGCCACCGATGGAGAGCCAGGCTTTGTAGAAGCCGGGCATATACTCGGGGTGCCGGTAATACTTATCACCTCCAGGGATCGGTCCTAGGGTAGGGCTAGGGGTACCAAGGTCCCAAGCTTTTACCCTCTGGGAAACATACAAAAAAGTGGAAAATCACAATTTTAATTGGGTAAATCGACTATTTCTATGGCAAGTTTCAGAGAGTATATCCAATTTTGGGTAGGTTCACAACACATTCTCACGACCCATTGTTGGATTGCTGGGCAAACCCTCCCCAAGTTGTGAGAAGTGAGGGTTTAAGAGGCAGCAACACATACCAAGAGATGCTCACAGCTCCACTCAATGCCATGTGCTATCCTCCGCTGGGTCATTTCATGACAAAAACCGAGTGGAACATCTTTTGGGTAGTTTTCTCAATTAGACAATGCACATATTCCGTTATCAAACGCTACGCTAACCGTTAGGTGTTATTTTGCTTCCGCAAGTGAACTTCCCTGTGTTGCTAACCTGTGGGGACCAAGATCCTCCTGGACGTCAGCGCGCCTAAGCAATTGCAATCGATCAGGTTGCGTCGCGTCATCATGTCTTCCACTCTAGCCTGGACACGGTTTTTTTTGGGCCGGGAAATATCAATACAATGTGAGGCCCCCAGTGATGTTAGTTGGTTTAGATTCGCCCCAGTAACTATAGTTATAAGTACCATAAACCATAGTTATTGGAGTTATTGGCACCAACTTAGCTATCTTGGGGGCCTCACATTGTATTGATATAAGAACATAGATGGGGAAATTCATCCATAGGTCCATAGATGATAGAGTGTCCAAGGCCATTGTGTGCGATATAATTGGCTATTCCTGAATCGCGATTGATGGTAGGCCGATGTCAGCTAAGATTATTGCTGACCCAAATCGCCAAACAAAATTTGGCAACAGCCCGACAGCCCCATGCACCAACATTGACAAGTGAAACCACCGATCAAAATCTCCAAGTATCATGGATGGGGCCAGCCATGGATACAACCGGCCGTGCTCTTTCACATGCATGTTTTTCCATCTCATTCCGTGTAAACGCAAAAAATGAGGTGCAAGGTAGTGTTTCCTGGAAGCGTCAGCGCTGATGAAGAAAACATGTGAAAACACCTCTGATCTGCCACTTCCGTGGTCCAATTCCAGTAAATTCAGTAAATTCATCGGTCATCTAAGTGCTGTACTTTTTGTTTTGTCGGGCTTCAAACATGGTGTTGACGACATCACACGTAGACATACAAACAATAACAGAAACAATAACGGACGTAACAAGTTGAAACATATTGTACACACAAAAATTAACACACGCACACACACATATATATATATATATGCATGCATATTAAATGTGTTTTAAGCATAAATCAATCAATAAATAAATCAAACAAGAAATATATATATACAGATTATTTAATACATATTTTGAACCATATCTATCTGTCTGTCTGTCTGTCTGTCTGTCTATCTATACTTGTTAATTTTAGTAAATATATCACATAGAAATAGCTATAGGCTATAGATATATATATATATATAACAAAAAATAATGCGTATATAGACGGATATATGTATATATATATATAACAAAAAATAATGCGTATATAGACGGATATATATATACATCGTTTACTGACGCTGATACTGGGCCCAAAGCCTTGCAATGTTCCAATGAGCAGGCCCCAAAACGCACGCCTTGCGCGTCATTTCGGTGGTGATATCGACCTCTTTGGCCTCGTTGGATCCAACGCTGTGCCACACGGGGTTGTTTCTTTACCAGCCTCATGCAACAAATGGTTTGAACGGGGTTACCATTCCACAAATGAATACACATGAGGTTATAACTGACAAATAGCGAGTAAAAGGCCATAACTGAACATGATCCAAACTTGAACATGAGAGAGTCATCGGGGGAAACCCAATTTGGTTGCGGCGATGTGTTTGAAATGGGAAACAATCACCTTTATTTCCTCGTCAAACTGTGAGAAGGGGACAGCTTTACAGGATCCAGCCAACATGATGATAATGTTAAGTTGGGTCCACAACTGCTTGCGAGACCCCGGGTGAAGGGTCCCGGGTGAAGGGTCCATGGTGGATAGACCATTATTCGTCCCAAGGTGAAACAAGTGATTGATGTCTGTGAATACTAAACGAAGAAACCTAGTCGCGGATAGTACAAACGCCATCAGGCCGTGCGATGACACATCAGTGGTTGGTGTGTGGCCGCAAAGCATGTAATGGTCTACACATCTGCACCTGGATGGGCTGTACAGATGTGAACAACAAAAAAAGCATATAATCTAATATACCAAGACAAAATGGGACCACCACATTTTGAACAACCCATGAGGAGGTCGAAAAATGTCTAAACGCAAGTGATTCAACTCTGGATCACAGCCTGGGTCCTGGATAGCCCCAAAAAATGCCAAACTCAAACTGGTGAATGATGGTGCATGTTCACCCTGCGGATGAGGCATCTTAGTTTTTTTGTTCGTGATACGCTTGCAATACACTTCAACCCATCCTCAGATTCACAGATAAATTTTCCCCAAAGCATCGAAGCTGGGAAGGCGATAAACGGATGATCATCTTGCTACTCTGGGGATTGTCGGCAATAGAGGCATGTTTACACCGCTACATCCACTAAAATCAGTTCATCACGTGTGAATGGTCGTGTGGAAAAGACCCACAAGGTGATGCCCCAGTTCGTTAGCCAAGTTGGTTTTAAAATGTGTCAAATCGTGCGTTTATTCCGGGTATATCATATCTATAGTTGATAAGATTTAAAACCACCAGCCGGCCTGGGGTGCATCACTTTGTAGGGTATTGACCTTAGCATAGCATAGCAGGGCATAAGCCGCAAACGGGTTGGTCAGCAGCTCGTATCCGATTCTCTCGATACACTGTCCTGGCTGCAGCAGCGAGATGAGCAACTGCCATTCAAGAGCTATGTTGCTGAACCAAACTCCCAAACAAGCCCTGCATTTGTCAGCCCAACAAGTTACAATAATCCGAACTTCCAATATCAAACATCCCCCCATACACCAGGGTGGGTGATGTAGGGGATGAAATCACATATTTTTTTCCAAGTTTGTTTGCTTTTTAATATGGATGGGGGTGGGATTAATTCCGTTTTACCCTCACAATATTCCCGTTATATTACCCTTATAGTGGGTGGTATCATATTTTTCCATTTTTTTTGCTGGTGAAATCCCTGATTTCGCCATTTTGTTGATTATTTTCCCCTCTATTGTCCCATTAATTCCCATTATGCACCCTATCTAACACCATAATAAATCCTCCGTTGTTGATTACGTCCTCATGGGTTCGTCCTAGCGCATTCTTGTATTGTTGCAACTGTATTCCTTAAGCGGTGGATTTTCCATTCGAAACAACGTTTCCGTCCCATCGCCGCTCATCACCTCTTTGCTTGTGGCCGGTCCTGCCAACGAGGCCCAAAATTCAAACACACCCACAGAGGCCACGGAAGTGGGAAGGATGGAAACGAACCTCTAAAGCCAAAAACATTTTTTCCAGATTGCGGGCCGGCTCAAAGTTGACTAACCTGGTAGTTACACAGCCCCTTGTGCAACAATTTCTATTCGTATTCAATGGGTGCATGTTGTCCCGCTTTTTGAAGGGCTTTGGGCTGATTGGCCTGCATCTGACTGCGTACCATAGCTCACCGGTAAAGATGCGGCGTATGATGCGACACATAGCTATACAGCTAGTGTGGATTGCTGGGATCGGGATCAAAACCATGCAAACATATCCAAAGCAACGATCTGACCTCAACGATGGCCATGGACCTACAAATGATGGCCATGACCCACCAGTGGGGCACCACTGGGCACCAAGACTTGGTCCCTCAACATGTCTCAGCATTGCCAACCCTTTGAGTTCAGAGGATGTAATTCAAATGGAAACTTTCATATCTAAGATCTCCCTCTTGCAACCTCCTAGTTGGAAATCCTGGAAGTATGGAGTAAATATCATCTACATCCTTGAAACTCTGCTCTATCTTTTTGGGGGTTACTATATTTTGCATATGTATATATACACACACAGCATCTATTAAATTGACCAACAAGTTTCCCCATCCTACCCCTTACCAGCATCCGCGACATCCAAGGAGAGAAAGCATGCTAAAGTTCCGATCCATAACTAAGGTTGATATAGCTTAATTATTTAATTAGGGTGGATATAAGTACAGCATCAACCAGAAAACATCCGGTCACCTTTCATATTCCGTCGGGGCTCCTGATGCTCCAGTTTACTTTCCACCTGGATGGAGCTTGGTTCGTTGGTTGTCAGAAGAAGGCTATGTACGCATGAATTTTGCGTAGAACCCCAGAAATCGCCATGTCCAAAAGGGAAATTAGCAAAGTTTGATAATTGTCCTGTTGGACATGGCGATTTCTAGTATCAAACCCAGACTGTTTTGGGGGTTCAACCATCTTAGATTGAGGAGGTGTAATGGGAACAACCCAACCTTAAGAACGGCCAACCGTCCCGAATTCAGGTTTGTCTTTGGCAAAACCTTTATTTGAGGTATGATGTAAAATAAACCCTCAAATACTCAAATACTTAATTGCTGGGATGGGTCATTATTGAATTTACACCATTTTCGTACTGTGGACAAGCCACTCGCTTGCAACTCCAGGGCATCTGAGCCATTTAAACTGCCATTTCATGATGCCTATATGCAAACCACAAGCAAAAAAATGACAATGAAAACCAATGCAATACCGGCACAGGTGAATGTGGGGCACGTCCCTCTATGAACCACTCAGCCAAAGAAAAAACACCATGATCCAAACAAAGATTGGGACACCATGTCCACCAGCAACTGACACTGGAACGATATCAATTATATAATATTATATACAGTAATTACCTATTTTTGGCACAATATCAAGATCTCAAGGCAACCCTTTGCAAAGGGAGTTCCACATTTACGGGTTTCACTCCGTTTCCTATTCAAAATAAAGGCATTCCACTGCCGGTGGGATTTCCAGCCACCATCACAATCTTTCACTGACCCGGGAGCACCACCCCCCTTTCCGAATATGGTCCGGCATGGTATAGGGCACTTGAACCCCAACACGGGAAACCACCGAAACAGGATTTCCCCGCTTGAATTTGCCATGTCAAAGTTTCTGTTTAATTTTGTTTTTTAAACATATGTTATATTGTTTACAACTTATTCCACAAGAAAGTAAACAAAAAATTCCATCCATCAGATGGCCTGGGGCTTCATCATTCCACATAGGTTCCAAGCCTGGCCTGACGAACGTGTCTTTTTTCGGCCATGGCATAGACCTGCCGCCGGTGGCCCGCGTTGACGTTTGGAATGCTTTCCCTACAGACCCATACCCAGTTGGGTGGGGCGACAATATTCCAATTTACCAAAATCTTATCACCTTTTATTTCGTACCTAAATCATCATACTGAATATCGGTCAATGTTTGCGACTTTCGGCATGAAGTCGATTATTGAAGAATGATGGTCTTATTGCTATACGGGGATGCTGCCGCGATGCTATAATGTGGGTAGAACAATAATAGACCATCCCCCAAAACACCATAAATAGGTGGTATAATCCATTCCCAGATGGGTGGTTTGTGGCATTGTTTTACCCACATTATTTATCTTATCTCCCTACGTGCCAGTTACGCAGCTTAGGTACCAGCAGGGCGCCTTGGGCAAAGGCTGTTCCACTTTGCCAAGGCCTTCTGGCCTGGCTGCTGAAGAAACGGTTTCACTGGCAGAAAAAGGATTTACCATCCGGGGGATCACTGAGATGTGATGAGATGTAATGAGATTGTATGGGACTTTCATAGGCCTGTATGGGGATTTACAAAGATTTTATATGGGACTTTCATTTGGATTTATTGGAACTTAATAGGATTACATATATAGATATATATATATATGTGTGTGTGTAGGGATTTCATTGGATTTATTGTGATTTAATGATACTTTCATTTAGTTTGATTGGGAATTCTGCGAATGCAGTGGGATATATAACTAACAGACCCGTCATCAACACATGGAAATTAGAAATCCTCTGTTTAAATAGAGGTTTTAATGGTCCATCATGGACTGAGAATGCAACCAGCAAACCATCCTGATTCAACACGATTTGATTAGCCCAAAAAACCGAGATTGAACACTTTTAACTTTTAACTTTGAACCAGCCAACGGCAACAAAAGGTTTTGGCCAATACAACCATAGGACTATGTCTCTATGAAATCTCCATTGGTCAGAGGGTTGCTTGCCTTGTTACAATTGGTGGGCAACATTGGTTTTATATTCCAGTGTCTTTTTGACATGACTTTGCCTGAAAACAGGGCGCGTCCGATTCAGTTCGACAGTAGGATGGTCCCCTTCCTATTTCAATGATATAGGCAAATTTCAATCTCATGCTTCGGCAAAACCCACAAAATCATTGGGCTAAATCCGAAATTAGTTCCATAACTTCAAGAATGGTTACATCTCAGTAAAACTCCGCTGCCCAATGTTTTTACCAACCCCTATATTTACAGGCTTTGACGTCCACATTTAGCCTTGGGATTTGCATGGGGCTCAAACTGCTTAAACCTTGGTGCTCGAAATTGAGTCACATCAAAACAGGTGAAAATTGCAGATGCTTCGGTGAACTATCAATTTTGATGCGAAACTTTTAGTTAATTGAACTTTGAAGGAGCAAAATGAGAACCAAACCTGTCAAACACTTGCAACATTATTTTCCAATTCAGCTGACTACACCATGAGACACTGAGCAAACCCTCGACGTGTGAAATTGCCTTGAACCAAATCACATGAAGCTGCTACTAGTGCCAATGAACCCACGTTCTCTTGACCACCAGAAAGCCAAGAACATTCTCAAGACTACTGGCAATTCTGGAACAAGACCTTGCCAATTTTGTGCGCACCATGCTTCAGGTACCTGTCAGATACCCACACAACCCCAAAATCATAGGCAAAAATCGCCCTGGTCGGAAAAGGTATCTGAAAGGGTGAATCCGAAACCATAATGTCACGCAGCTCTCTTGGATTCTGCGCCACCGCTACCAAACATCAGCCGGGCGGCTTCTCGATCAGGAGCCTTGGGCTGGGGGCATGGCCGCATGTGTGACAGAACCCACGAATTGCACCTGCGCGGTTAGTGAGTGGACCCAATCATTAAGCACCAATAACGGGGATCAGCCAAGTTGAAGTCAGCCCAGTTGAAGCTGGTATCAGCGCCAAGTTGCCTGGATCGAAGCTAAAAACATGTCCAAAGAAACACAGGTCCATCCACAGATTTTGGTTACAATTCCTTCAGTCAACATGGACCGGGTTGGAGAATACTTTCTTCTAAGAATTGCCAGTTCCCAGGGTCTATATGTCACTCCTGCTGAAAACATGGTATGTGCATGGTATGGCCATGCCACAATTATGATGAACCTTTTACTTGCTCATTACAAGTCTCTTTGAATATGAACTGATGACGGTCCAATTTTCGGCAATTTACTCAAATTTTGCCTCTGGCTGAGAGTGTCGCAGACATCGCAAAAACAACTAGTTTCTCATCACCTCCACCTTTTCCAAAATGACAATTTTTGGGTACACGATATAGCTTTTCTCGAATACACCAATATGATATAGCTGGTCACCTTGGCAACCACTGCGCCATGAAGTATTTCCTATCAAATCACCACATCCCAATGTTCTTTGCTGATTGCTGGTTGGGTGTGTAACTCATATTGTTAGCTGCATCCCCATTGCAGCCCCAAGATTCCCCCTACCCCCATGACATCTCTGCTCGCCAAGCAGCAGCCCCGGCTCCAGCAGAGGTCGCTTGCCAGGTTTCCAGGCCAGGGTCTGGCGCAACGAAGGCCCAGATTTTCCAAATGACTGTGTGTGGAATCGGGATATGCCTCCAGTTATAGCCTAGCCATGTAATCAGGACAATGATGATGAACCATCGGGTTTAGCGAACAAACATTTACATAACCACAAACATCTAGATCTATAAGTGGCAAAATGCAGCTGCAATTGGAGACTTAGTTTTCCGCAAGCTACTGGACATAACCAGGAAAATGTAAAATGTATTAAAACACGGGGCTTGAATCAGAAGGAGAAAATGAAACCATTAACATCTTGAACGTAAGCAACTGCAAGTGAGACGCAACCAATCACAAATTTGATCTAAACAACCAGAAGGGCTCAACAAAAATTAGGCAAATTCAGCATGGACCAAAAAAATGGTGCTGTAAACGCAAAAAACATGGAAGCTTTGTGTCCCTTCAAGTACTAGGATGAAAGTGGTTTCGCGTCCCATATGACAAACCTTTTTTACCCTGTATGATTTGCCAATGTCGCGGATTCAAGGCGTCACCACTTTTGGATGGAGACAGCCCTGGGTGAAACAACGCCTCGGAAATTGAGACACACTTGACACATTTCCCCAGTGTCCGGCTGGCGGTTCCAATCTGAAAAGAAACCTTGGATCGCAACTATGCTCATAGCAAAAACCAACGGCAGGTCCTGGCCGAAAAACATTGCTTCACCAACATGACCTATCCTTTGACATGGTGGTTCCTCTTGTTGAATGTGATTTGTGGTGATATCATGGTGAGATTGCTGTCATTTGTTGGAAACACGAGCCAGGGCACACGTAATCTATTCTGAGGCTGTCTTTGGCCCGTGTGAAACTAAGTCTTGAGATATTGGCACTCCTGCTGCCTGCCGCATAATGATGGGAACCCCTCCGCCCTCTCCAACATTTTGGGGCGGTCGTTCCGCAGGTGGACCCAAGGTCAAAACGACACCTGCAGGGGCAATTAATTGAAAGGCACCTATCAAACGCAGGGACCGTATGGCACAGGTACTTGAAAACAATAATTACTACCCTTTGGATTGCTAATGAAACTTCTGGTGAAAATCAATATTCAAACATGAATGGAAATTTGATGCTCAATCTGAACGTGGCCCGATGTTTCATTCGAGGGTGCGCCTGAGTTGCGGCGTTCGGATTCCTCCGCGGGGTTGTCCAACCTCGGATTTGCGGGAGGCTCCTGCAAAGAGTCGTTCCTTTAGATCGTTTTGCAGAAAGGACATCTTTTCATCAAATTGTTGCTTTCTTGTGATCCTTTGTTAATGATCCTGTGTGAAATCGTTGAGTGTCCTCCAAGCATGTACAAAAATGAACGGAACTAGATTAAGGTGGATCGGTGGGCATCTATGCTGTCCGAAACCTGATTGAACATTACTCTAAAAAACTGCTCGCGGCATATGAAGCCGCAAAGGAAGTAAAACTAAAACCTGTAAAACCTGTATGGCCACAATCCAATGTATACTTTGGCTTGATGGTTAGGTCCCATCCTGCTGAAAAGAAAAGGAACGAACACAATGGATTCGTCTAGAATTACAGAGTAACACATCTATCAATATAGAACCATCTACCATACATCTAACAATTTGCCTAAATAGGAAACAATGTATCCAAGTACATAGCAGACCTGTTGGCCCACAGTTTCAAGATGATATCAATGAGTTTAAATATATATATATATATAGATATATATAAATGTGAAAATATGTACATGTAAAAACATACATGTCATGTATGTGTCTATTTGCTTGTTTCTCATATTTGTTCACCTGTCAGGTGAGAGTCTCTATATAGATTCTAACAAATGTGCACCTCTTCCTTCCTTCCTTCCTTCCTTTCTTACTCCGTCCTTCACTCGCTGCCATCACTTCCATCTTCTTTCTGCACTGTGGGGCACGCTGGACCCAAACACCATATCGCTAGCTCCAGATGCTGTGGGGCATGCCGGGACCCCAACACAATATTGCCAGCTCGGGATGCTGTGGGGGGCGCATGGGCCCAAGTGCCAGACAGAATGCCAAAGAGAATGAGAGAATAGATGCCAAATAGAACGCCAAAACCAATGCCGGAAATAATGTCAGAAACAAACCGCACTAGGCACCAGAATGCCACAAAGAATGTCAGAATTGATGTCAAATAGAATCCCAAAAAAATACCAGAATAGATTTCAAATAGAATGCCAGAAAGAATGTCAAATAGACTGCCCGAAAAATATCCGATAGAATGCCACAGCGGGGATCGCTCGAAATGAAGTAACTGTGAATTTTATGAAATGATTTTCGAATGAAATTACTGTATTTATTTACTGCAGATGCAAACAAACATGTGCAGTTACAACTGTTCCATTTTACACGTTTGAAATGGTTGGTTGGATCCAAGTTTGTGTCCCCGAATGTTGTGTCTGTTGGTGATATGTTACAGTTGCCCCACAAAGCCAAATTGTTCATCACTACTAGCCCATCAACTAAATACAGCTGTAGCAAGCTTCATATCGCAGGATCTCAGTGTCTCTCGAAAAAAGGCAGGCACCCCATGTTGCCCCGATTTGTGTGGACCCCTGCAACATCAACACATCCACATTAAATCACCACCATATGCCCAGCTGGCTTCGCTGTATAATTTGCTATGTGGGTGCGTGTGGTAATTCCCGCTTTGCCATTTTATGGGAAAATCCGTGTAAGCCACCAAGTCGCCGGGAATATATTGTTGATCAAATGACAACAAAACAGTAGTAAACTAAGCCAACTTTAACCAACTTAGCCAGCTATAAACCGCCCATATCTCATATCTCGGCATTATTTCGCAAGTAGCTGGCCCTATGCCTCCTTGATCCCGGGTTCTCCCATGTATACACGGGTTGTAATCACCACGATCTAACTTGTTGCTACTTAAGTGAATGATCGTCCAAGTGGTTTTTCAACTAATTATCCGAGCGGCATGTACTGCTCTGTGGGTCCCTTCATCGCCGCCGCCAGCCTCGCCTCTGCGCTGAGGATCTCCACCGTGCCGCCAGGCAATACCTGCATGATGCGACCCATGTCCACGGTGGAGTCGTTACCCACCTGGGAATGTGGTTGGGTGAAACATGTGGTTTCAAATGAAACATCAGGAAGGGACATGAAAATATGTTTGAGATATTTTGAGATGCGGTTTCATGTTCGAATTGCATCCCAGCAAAACGGAACATGTTGACACGGGCAGCTTTGTTGTGTGTCTAAATATTTAAATAAGTATATATATATATATATAGAGATCAATACCAGACGATTCCTTGTGACCTTGTTTGTGTTTTCTGCTAAGTGGCCTTTAGAAGGAGGTCAGTTAAGGAAAACGTAGAAAGAGGTCAGCGCAAACAGCCAATCCTTAAGTGACCTTTTCAAGGCTTACGGCTTACGGCTTAAGTGACCTTTTCAGGGTCCTAAGTGACCTCGTTTCATCCCACCTCGAAACCCCAGTGACACGCAAGTGACACGCAGTGACACGCAGAAATCATGTGATCAGCCAGGCAAAGAGGTCACTTAAGGATTCTTGAAACGAGGTCACTTGTGCATGATTGATCTTGTAAGTGACCGTTTGGCACTTTGGGTCTAAGTGGCTTCCAGTAGAGGGCAGAAGTAACTGCCTGGTATATAACATTTTTTAAATATGTTTAAGGATCATCCTGCGGTCATGTTGCCAAAGCATCTCACTGTTTTTTGCGTTTTGTGTCCCCGCCTGGCCACACATGTTTGCGCCATAGCAGCCAACCTGACCCAAAGATCCAACAATCACAGCATGGTCATCTCCAGCCGCGATTGCAAATGCGCCATCGGGAATGAATAATTCGGTAGGCTCAGCCACGCCTGGGCGGTGAAGCAAACCTACAAGTAAAACAAAACCATCCCAAAAGTTTCAATGAACAAATGGATGGAAAACGTCTCAAAATTTCCTGATCACTGGCTGGTCCATATTGGCCCAAATGCGTGCAAAATGTGTGGGCCAACGCGACGAAGGAGCAATTCCCAGATCATGTGTGCAGGGTGCATTCACCTCTATTCACTTCTAACAACGGCACCTTTAAATCAGGAAAACCTACCATATGTGAACGGCATGCTTTGTCTGAATCCAATCCAGCCACTGTAACGCGCCGGGCAATCGTAGGACCGGTCATCCACGGGTACCACTCCATGACCCCAAGCCTTCACGAAATAAAATTCGTTTGCGCAGAAACTTTGACATCCACCTGCCGCAATGATCAGCTGCTGCCTTTCCACTGCTGTAGGAGTCGGCTGAAAATCTAAAAGGCCGTTGCCCACCTCTGCGGGTCAGATTATAGGACAAGGTTTAAGAGGAGCGATGCATGTTGTCCATGCGGGAAAACTTCTTCTATCTTCTTTTAGCAATGATGAATGACAGACAAAGGGCTTCATGCGTCAAACCTTCACAAATTCCAGGGCGTGGATGACATTTAAACACTTCTCTGTTGTGCTTGCCTAGCATGATGCTTTTGCACAGCGACAAAGTTTGACTTTACAAAAGCAAGCGACCCAACGAAGGAACATGAAACTGCAAAATAACAAAATTGACTTGCCAAAATGTTTTGGTCCTTCCCTCTATACCCGAAAACTGGGAAATAAATTTGTTTGTGGCCATATTTTTCCTCATGAAACTGTGGCTGTTGAAGTCCAGAAATCTAAGGCAAAATCAAAAAACACCAATTTTTCCATGGTGCCTGCTTATGAAGGATACTCATGGGAAAATTCACAAAAAAATGATAAACAAAGGTGACTTGCTACCTCTGTGCTAAATTGCCATAATGTAATTTTTACTCTTTTTTTTTCTCCAACAACGCAGCCACCTCCAAGCTAAGAAACTGGGCGAAGACGGCGTAGGCGAATGCCATTTAATTTGAGTGCAAGCATCACTCAATCAAAAGAACTCATGTAAAGGTGGCACAAAATTGAGCGGATTGTTTTTTGCAGCAAATCTGGAGGCACACCCCATCAAGAAAGCGAAGATATGATCCGGAAAATGGAATGAACGAGAAATGTGCAGGGAAGCTACGTGGCAAAATCCAAAACTCAACAAATGTGTAGATCTCAGGGCATTAATGGACAGCTGGTGGGATTGGAACAGTCGCATGGCAGCTCGCTTGAACCTTTGGACAAGCACTTTCAAAGTCATGGATTGATTTATGAAACCCGGACAGTATCCAAACTGGAAAACAAAATCTGCCATGATTTCAACCCACGACGTTCTATGGATGGATCTATGCGATCCAACGACCCATGCCGATTGGGAGAAAAATTCACAAATAGCGCCAGCTGCGCTGGGGCTAAGCCGCATGGGTCCGGCAGCCAAAAATGCAGGATCTGGACTTGTGACTAATGGCTGCCACATTTCTTGGGGATAAGCGATGGCGATATACCTGTTATGGTGAGAAGATACTCTAGTTCTGATAAAAGGACTAATTGGTTCGCCTCGTTTAACACAAGAGATGAGCATGTTTTCGGCATCACCGGCACGGATTACCAGTGGGCGACACGTCCCATAATGTAATTTTTACGGCCGCCGTCCCCACCTGCCCGTGGTCATTGGCGCCCCAGGCGAGCACGGTGCCCGTCTTCGTCAAGGCTAAGTTGTGCGAGGTGCCAGAAACGACCATTGTGACGCCAGTGCGGATGACTTGAAGGAACTGCTGCCCGGCTTTGGTGTATCCAAAGCCTGCCAAACATGCACTAATGTATTTAAACATATCATCTTATCTTTGTATATATTTATATATATATATATTTAAAGAAATCCACCTGGGAAATATTTCTTGACCCGTACCCCAAAAACATTTACTCTATTTGTATCCCCCTGTACAAATACCCGGTGACGTCAGGGCCACCATTTTGTAAAGGACCCAGGTCTCGAGCTTGCAGAATGTCATGGCTTCAAGTTTATAAGATGGGTGCTGGTGGAGTGTTGGTCTGACTCCACAAGAAACACAGGTGAACCCCCAAAAAAAAGTGCCTTACAAAATGCTTGCCCCAACCTCATTTCCCCGGTCCCAAGCCAAGTCATTGTTTTATTTTTTGTCATATAAAAAAGTTGTTCGGAAAAATGTCTAACGTGTACCTATCCCACTTCCCTGGGAAACATTGCAATCCTTTTTCCCACTCCCCGAAACAAAATCTATATTTTTTTGGGGCCAAATGAGAGAAACACATTTTTTTCAACCAATCCACTTTGTAGCATAATTTGTTCCACTCTGACTTTCTGTGGGCTGTGGTCCCTTTGGCACCAAACCATTTTGCAAGAAAACTGGTTTCAATCCTTCCGGCAAACATCAGCATGCACGCGCCTCAATCTTACCGATTCAGCCAAAAATATGGTTCCTGCTCTTTTCGCAATTTCAAAACCATCCTTTGCACTGCTTGAAATGAGCCCACAACACTGTCATCAAATAACACATTTGGGCCCATTTTGGCCCTTACGAAATGCTTCGCCCAACCAAGAATATGTTTTTTGCAAAATGGCAGGACTCACTGGGCACAAGTCGTTCCAAAACGGTTCCTTCTCTAGTAAAATAGCCCCTGAAAAATGGAACGTGGGTCCCACCATTTCATACTGGAAATGTGCACTGGGATCTACATGGAAATTATGTGTGCCTCAGAAAATTATCCTGAATATGTTTCAATATGCAAATAGCAAGCAACTCTCAGAATATCATTTGCCTTTACACGACATGCACATGCATGTCAAAAAATGCCACTGACATTCTACACCCATTTACACCCCAAAGGTATATATAGACACAATTACAGCAGGAAATTTAGTTAGCAGACTGCCGACTTGCGGACGAATGGCCATGTCTAGAATTCACAGTGTCATGTCAGCCGCATCATGTAGCAAACACAAGATCACAGTACCAGTGTGACCGTGCGATTTGTGCATGAAGTGCGCAAGTCATTCTGTCTTTACAGGTATGGTGGCTCCATGGTCGCCAAGGGAGGGTCTGTGTCTCCGCGGGCGGCATGCAAAAGCCGCGCAGGACAGCGGCAAGAGCTTATAATTCTGTTCAAGACAACGTTTCTCGCTGCAGGCGAGCCACTTTTGGAAGATTAGATTCGCAAGATTCGCGCGAGACTGCAGCGAGAGTTCGTTTTCCGCGAAAAAAGTGAGGGCTTAACAGACAAGAGCAGAATCGTGCCCTTGTCAGCGCTGCTGTGAGAATGGTGGTTTTCGAGCATATATAGTACCACTGTTTTTTGTGGGGTTGCAGCTCGGGCGTGCAAAACACAATGTATAGATGCTGCGTGAGGAGAAGGGACTACCAAAGAACTATGTCAAAAAAATGTTGCTGAGAGAGGGTGGCGGTTCAGAGCAGATAAAAGGCAACTCGGAAAAGAAACCGGACGAGGAAGTAAAGTACGGCTCAGTGAAGAAGTCATTGAAAGAAACTTGGCTCGGGGACTGGGTAATACCAATTCATTGATGCGTTCATTCATCATTCTTTCACAAGTTCATTCCGTCGTTCAGTGACTCACACATTCACAGGTGATAGGTTCATTCATGAATTTACTGACTGAATAACTGCTTATTTGGTTGATTGGTTGATTGACTGATTGATTGGTTGACTGGTTGACGGATTCACTGATTCATTGGATCAACGATTCAATCATTCATTCAGTCGCTGATTCATTCAACCAATCAATCACTCACTCATTTATCCATTCAGTCATTCAGCCATTCATTCATTCGTTCGCTCATTCGTTCATTCCCTCACTCACTCACTCACTCACTCAGTCAGTCACTCACTCACTCACGCACGCACGCACTCACGCACTCACTCATTCATTCATTCATTCATTCATTCACTCACTCACTCACTCACTCACTCACCTCATTCGTTGATTCGTTGATTTGTTCACTCATGGGCGGATTCATGTAGCGAGTCACTCACTCATTGGTTCACTCATTTGTTGGTTCATTCGTTCGCTGGTTCAGGCAATGATCACCAATTCGTTGATTCGTTCGTTCAAAAAATGTTTTGATTCAGTGACATTGACTCAGGCATTCGTTCTTGCACTCATGCATTAAACATGTTTCAAAGATTTTTCTGTCATCGGTTCAACGCTTTATTCATTCTTCGTTGGTTGATTTAAAGATTGATTGGTTGATTGGTTGATTCATTCATTCATTTATTCATTCCTTCTTTCCATCCTTCCCTCCTTCATGCATGCGTTCATTCATTCGTTCATTTGCTTTATCTTATCTCACTTCATTTCATGTATTTCATTTGTTTTAGCTTCATTTCATTCATTTCATTTATTTCATGTCATTCATGTCATTCATGTCATGCATTTCATTCATTCCTTCCTTCTTGCAATCATTGATTCAATGTTTCTGTTTCTTGTGGATATTTCCTTTTTTTCATATCGTTTTTCATTTTTTATTTTCACATGTCGTTTTTCATCTCACATTTCCCTGTCATTTCATTACGTTCGTTCGTTCATTCGTTCATTCGTTCATTCGTTCATTCGTTCATTCAATCGTTCATTCAATCATTTTTTTCGAACCATTCAATTTCATTTGACTTTATTTCGTTTCATTTTGTTTTATTTCGTTTCTTTTCATTTAATTTCATTTCGTTTTTTTCATTCATGCATTCATGTGTTGATGTTTTCATATTTTCATGCGTTCTTTCGTTGTTTCGTTGGTGTGTGCCTGTATCTCATTGCATTTCATGTCCCTTCACTTCACTTCAGAGAATTTCGTTTCGTTCCGTTTCATTCATGCATTTTTTGCATGTCATTAACTCTTTTTTTGCTGCCTTTCATTCATTCATTTCATTTCATTTCATTTCATTTCATTCAATTCATTCATTCAATTCATTCATTCATTCAATTCATTCATTCATTCATTCATTTCATTTCATTTCATTTCATTTCATTTCATTTCATTCATTCATTCATTCATTCATTTCATTCATTTCATTCATTCATTCATTCATTATTTCATTTCATTTCATTTCATTTCATTCCATTCCATTCATTCATTCATTCATTCATTCATTCATTCATTTCATTCATTTCATTCATTTCATTCATTCATTCATTCATTCCATTCATTCATTCATTTCATTCATTCATTCATTCATTCATTTCATTCATTCATTCATTCATTTCATTCATTCCATTCATTCCATTCATTCCATTCATTCCATTCATTCCATTCATTCCATTCATTCCATTTCATTCATTCATTCATTCCATTCATTCCATTCATTCCATTCATTTCATTCATTTCATTCATTTCATTCATTTCATTCATTTCATTCATTTCATTCATTTCATTCATTTCATTCATTTCATTCATTTCATTTCATTTCATTTCATTTCATTTCATTCATTCATTCATTTCATTCATTCCATGTCATTTCGTTTCATTTCATCTCATTTCGTGTCATTTCATCTCATTTCATCTCATTTCGTGTCATTTCATCTCATTTCGTGTCATTGCGTGTCATCTCATGTTATTTCCTTCTGTTCTTTATTCATTTCCTGTCACTTTTGAAGGCATTTAGTTTAATTTCATTCATGCGCTTGTTTCTTTCATTGTTTGATGCGTTCCCTCAGTCATTTTCACACGTTTTTTCATGTCATTGATCTCATGTCAGTTCTTTGGCATCGCGACAACCATTTGCCCTTCCTTGATGCACTTCGCAACATCAATTTTTCCTCGCTTCTGGCTCCCACTGACATTCCTGTAGGAATGTTTCGAAACTTTCGCCTTGACATGGCGGGGCACTATTTTAATAATTGTTTTAAAATGTTTTTTTTTGCCATGCAAGGGCAAGGAAAAATTCTGGAGGGGTATGCCCCATTTGAATCTTAGATTGGCAATTATGTGGCTCAGAAACCCATCCCCACAAAATGACACAAACCATCACAAACCCGAAACCACCAGCTGGAAAAACTTACTTCAACACACAAGAGCAGGAAGGAAACAATGCCTAGCCCCCAACCTGAAGCCTATGGCCCACTGACGAATAAATAGAAAAACATTGCAACGCCACGGAACAATATTGACGTGGCAATGGGCCAGTATTGTCAAGTTTGGTGTGACCAATTGTGCAAGCTGGGTGCTTCTATCAACGAAATAGTTTCGTCGTGGATGTGATGGGCAATACACAACAGTAAACAATATTATCTGCGAATCCTGGACGCACGGCAAGCGAATCACAAGACTTTGTTCCTTGGAGGGTACAATGGCGTCACATGAAAATGGTTTTGAAACACCAGCCTGCCGCTAAAACTTCGCCAGTTTCTGTTAGCACCAGGCTATGGTATGATCCAGCTGCCACAACGGTTGCACGAACATCTCCAGGGAGCGGGGTAGGCGTAGGTGTGCGCCGTTTCTGTTGAGTGCCATCGCCCAACTGACCGTACTCGTTGTGACCCCAACCTGAAAATATGGTAATACAGTAATACACTACATACACACGGAAAGAAAAATCTCCATATGCCATCCAGTTTTGAAATTTTGGTTGGCACGCAAATTGCGCTTGATTTAGTTTAAACCTCTCCAGACCGCAAACATAAGTGGCTAATCCCTTGAATTGATGATTCAACCTTGTCACATCAGCAGCCATAGTAAACCCTGGATTTATCGTTAATTCAAGTCAGGGATCGCTGAAGACAATCAATGTAGCAATGATGTTCACTGCGTGGCGTCTCCTTGTTAGAAACAAAACTTCACCATCAAAACTACTGCCAAGTACCCACACGGTC